TATTATTCAAACTATATTAAAAACTTAATGATAATTTTATATTTTTTTATTATTCAAACTATATTAAAAACTTAATATTAATTAAATATATTAATTTGTGTAAAACTTTAAATGTGCAAGTGAAATGTTATGATTACTTTTTGATTACGATTGTTATGATTACGTTAAGTATTAAATATTAGTACTTACCAATTCTGAAAATTCCAGAGAGTGTTTCTTATGTCAGTTATGCTTTTAAAATATTTTTATTGTTATTGGTATCATGTTATATAAATTATCTCGCAAATCAGATTTTATATTGAACTTCCTTAATTAACACCATCATTTCTCAACAAGCACTTCACCAACAAATATCATAATTTGGTTCGTTAATTTTAATATAACATGATAACAATTACAATAAAATTATTCTTCATAATTTAGGTCAAAGGAAAGTTTTTCATGTGTCATACTTTATGGAGTGTTTGGAATTGTTGGTACTGGAATTGGGGAAATTTATCCCGTATTTTTAGCAACATCCTTAGAGTTTGGTAAATTATCAGCATTTTTACTTTATAGTTATTTGATATTATATTTACTTATTTTAAAATAAAAATTTATCACTAACACAATACACAAAACATAACAAGAACATAATATCAGGGATGAATTGATGAATTAAATGGATGAGTTGAGGTTTAGAGTGTCTTTTACAGTTTTGAGCAACTAAATTTCAGGGGAAAACTGTGATCTAGCCTAAAAATTTGTTATTTGTTTGAAGATGCAAATAGTTTGTTTATTAGGTTTATTTTCTTTTCTAAATAGGTCTATTTTTAATAAAATTCTTTTGCCAACACTTGTGTAATTGTGTTGTTTACAGAATATATGGCATAATTTGCTTATATATCAGGTATACAACCAGTCATAATTCTTCCCCCTCTCCCACCTTTTATTTTAAACTAATTCACTCCCAATAAGACTACACGTAACTACGATTAAATTAGGAGATAAAGAAAGAAGGAGTTAAAGGAGTTAATAGAAAACAAAGAATTCTAAAGTTCAAGAGAAAGAAATCAGTTGACAGAAGACTTAAAAAACTCTAAATTTTTTATCTGGAAAACAAAAAGGTAGAAGAGAGTTACAAAGTATTGAAGTGCGAAGAAAAATTGAACTAAAGTTGAACAAAAGCTTTTACAGCCTTAATAGTCAAAGTAAAAGGATTTTGTGATACTTAAAAGGATTCAGCCACTTTGCTGAAGTGGCTGAATCCTTTGCAATCCCCAAATCAACTCCCTGTTCTAAGCAATTAAAAATGGATGAGTTTTTGTCAAGAGTATATAATTGTATCATTAGCAAATATAGCCACTTAAAATGCATGTCAGGAAGATTATTAATAAAGATTAGAAACAATACAGGACCATGGATAGTATAATTTTCTATTAGAGGAGTTTTTCTAGCAAATTTTCTCTAAAACCTCTGATATAAAGTAAGATTTGGTTTAAATTTCAAAAGTAAATTTGCTGAGAATTTTGGAACTAAGCGTCAGACAGCACCATGGTATAGTAGCACTGGGGAGGCTTCAGATTTTATTCTAATTGGGCTAATGTAAGAACTATCACCTTTTTTCAAAGTAGCATATTTTTTTCTCAAACTACGATGATTAAAGTATCTTAACATTTAACTTTCTTTATATTTCTTGATTTTCAATGTTTAAAAACTATTTCAAAAATGCTAGACAAGTGTTCAAAGTCACCCTGCATGCGTGGTGATTGTCAATAACAACTAGCATGAAATCAATCTTGACTAGCGTGATTGACTTTACAAATTTGGAAATAAATGCAATTTATTCCCAAACCATTAACAAAAATGTTGCATTTTCTTGTTGAAAATACAGGTTCATCAAATTTAAGATAAGTCCTTCCGAAAAGAGTGAAAAGAAATTGTGGCTATAAATCTTACAAAAAGAAAAATGCTTTTTGTCATAAAGAAAAGCAAGAAATTGTTTCAATTTGTTGTTTAAAGCTATAAAAAACAATTTCTATAAAAAATTATTTGCTAAAAAAACCTTGTTACTGATGAAGTTTATTGTGTTCTAATCTCCAGCACTAACATTATTCAGCTATTAATTTCAATAAATTAAATTCCAAATATAAATGATTTGGAAGGCAAAAATTTGCTACAAAATTCTTAAATTAGCAAGCAATTTGTAAGTGTGGTGAAAGAAACTCTTGTTTTGTGACTATGGGAACAATTACCACTAAAATATATATAAAAGAATGCATCAAAAAGTCTCTTTTACAGTAAGATCTCTTACTAGTAATCCATTATTTTGGCCGGATTTAACATTATGTTACTGTAAAAGATATATATATATATATATATATATATATATATATATATATATATATATATTTATATATATATACACATGTATATATATATACATACATATATATACATATATATATATATGCATTTGTGTTTATATTTTATGTAATAAATAGATATTTACACTTTTAAAACATTAAGTTTATTGATTTGATAGGGTTACAAAAACATTTTATAAAAATTATCAATGAAGTTTTTAAGAATATATTGATTATTTCAGGTGGAGCTGCAATGAAAGTATTCGACATTGGCATTATGTTGTTAATCTCTAGTATTTTAGTTTTAATTGCACAGCTTGGCACTTCAAAGGTTTGTCATCTTACTATTCTAAAATTGTGCATGCTTCTTTTGCCAAAATCCTTATCTGTTCTTTACAATAAATAAAATTCTACTATAGTTGAACATCTTTTTAATAAGATAAATGTATGTATGGTACGTAAGTATACATGTATAAATATGTATATATATATATATATATATATATATATATATATATATATATATATATATATATATATGTATATATATATATATATATACATATATATATACATACATACAAATGAGGTTGACATAAATTGCCGACCTCATTTCTATATTTTATGGTAAGACCTTTGTATCAAATTTTTTTTGCTGACCTGATGCTGACCTCTAAAAGATTGAGGTCAATGAAAAATGAGGTTGGCAAATTATTGCCAATTTTCCTAATTTTCCTCATTTTTCCTAATTCCGAGGGTTGTATATATATATATATATATATATATATATATATATATATATATATATATATATATATATATATATATATATATATATATATATATATATATATATATATATATATATATATATATATATATATTATACATATACAAATAATTTTAAATGTATTCTACAAAATAGAGTCCTCAATGTTCTTAAAAGAACAGAGTAATAATAAATTAGTAGAAAATCACTTATTAAATTTTTTTTATTTTACAGTGTTTCATAAATTAAGATTCGTTAGAAATCCTAAATAAAGCCTGTCTGCCTACTTTATGTTTCATTACAATAGGTTTTAGTATATGATTTTTCATGGATTTTAGTTAATGATTTAAGTTAAATACTCAAACTATAACCTTTAGAGATAATATAGTGGTTTTGGTATTTTATAGAAAATAACCATTGAATAATGCTAGTTTTTTCTTTCTTTTGATATATTATTTATGTTCTACAGTGAAAATGAGTGATCTTTTTTTAGTCATTAAGTTAAACTTTTTTAAACATCTTTCATTTTATGGAGCAGTTAAAGAGTTTCTTTTAATACTTCTTACAATAATAAATGTTAAGTTCTAATGTTAGATGGGACACTCAATAGTTTTTTGGTACTTCCTTTTTCGTAGAAAGAAAATAGTTTATTACTTCAAAAACGTTTAATGCACATAACTAAATTAATTGATTACATAAAGATTAGCCTCTTTATCATATATGATTATATATTTTAAAGAAAGTTTTTTTAGGTATTTCATGTTTCCAAACTCTGACTTTTCCATTTATTACAAAATAACAAATTTATTTACAATTAAATATATATGTTTTTACAAATTTTGTTCTCCTATATCACAGAATTACGTGGTATGATATATCTATATAAATCTGTTCAACAATGTTATTTCATGTTGACTTTTAGTAAATAATATGTCAATAGTTTTGAAGAATTTACAATGGTTTTAAAATGTTATTATCAATTTCATCTTGATTAATTTGTCCATTTATGAAAATATTGGCACAGTTGTGCCCCTTCTATATGTATTTGTACAAGTATTTAATAGCCTTAACACATCGCTCAAAATACTTTTTCCAAACTTGCCGATCAAATGTAATTTTTTCACAAAAACAGGTTATTTTCCCTTGAAGTTATCAAAATTTCCCTAAAAATAGCCAATCATTGATCGTTGATCAGCCGTTATTTTGAGCACTGTTAATTGACATGCAAGGTACGACATAAAGGTGGGCCTAATATTTCTTTTTAACCATAGATTGTATGGTACTACCCAGCGGTTATCTACATTGTTGCCTTTGATATTGATAACCAAACCATCATTCTAGCACCTATAGTGTGAATAACCATTATGAACTGCTACTGTGTTGGCAATATTTTTTTAGGATATTTTTTGCTGCACACCCCATCTTTCATGCAGGGAAAATATGGATTTAGTATGCCACATGGGCTGTGAATAATGCTTTATTAATAATGTTTTAATAAAATCATAAAGTTCATAATTAACAACTAGATTCGGAATTTCTTCAGATTTTTAATTATTGATATCATGCACTTATCATTTCCAAAATAACATAAAATATGAATATGGGTAACAACACTTTTGAAACTCAATAATCTGAACATGTGTTACAACTTTCCCTAATACACTGTGCTTAAAATTATCATTGAGGAGGTTATTTAATTTGAGTTTAAATACTCAAGTAACCAAGTCAGGTCTACTATTTGCTGTCTGGATCTAAATTATCAGTTATCTTGTACATTTTTGGTTAAAAATTAAAACAAATAAAAAGATCTGGTTTACCATATTCTTTTAATTATACACATAGCATAGCATAGCATCTTTAAAGTTTTCTTTTAAAGTTCTAATACTTCTTACATAAGTTAATGGCAAAACTATAACACACCCTAGTCTAACATCTTTTACGAGATTGTTTACATGTTCAAGTAAGGCTCATACTGTTTGCTTCCCAGTTTATTTTGATATTTTCTGATAAAAGCAAGGTGCTGGATTTCAATTTGGACAAATGCATCAACAGCATATTGCTGAACTAGTTTCTTGTCACAAAAGATTGAAGAAAAAATTGTGTAACTAAAAGTCTATAATTGTAATACTGAGAAAATGTAACATGATTTCTTACCAATGTAGCATGTTCAGAGTTGTAAACAAATCAATTATACTAACCAGTATAACCTTTTGGAAAAAATAGAGGAAAAACCATAGGATTTAAGTTTGGTGACATACTTGATATAGTTTTAAGAGGATGACCTTTTGGTTTAATAACAACATCCCTGGAAGCATCATCTTTACTAACAAATACAACCACAACTTCATTATGTGAAGAGAGATAAAAATAAGGTCTATCTTGCACTTCAAGTAAAGATGTTTAAACATCTGAGACTGAGCAACCTTTCAGCCATGTTTTTTTAATACTGTACTAAATAGGTTCTCTTCACTAATAAAAGTTTGCAATTGAAATATCAAATTTAAGCAAAGATCATTACTACATTGTTGCATTCTAAAATTTACTGCTGCAAGTAGATCATAGATTATAGTTGACAATATGTTGAAAGAACATCTTGATCTGGCCTAAGATCACCAACACAATGAAAAACCTGACCACATATTCTAGGACATGCAAACCCGTTATTAATAGGATGAACTATATTAGCTGCTACATTGTAAATGAAGCAAAAGAAAGATAGGCATTATAGTTTTGAATATATTTTAAAAAATTTACATTGACATTTTAATGTAAATTTTCCTATAAATCTTGTAAATCTTTTGAAAATGGTCAAAACTACCTTCCCATTATTGTAACATAAAAAAGGTGTTTTATCAGAAAGTTTCTTAGTACAACATTAACAAATATAGTTCATTTCTCCTAAATATTTTTGAACTGTATTAATATTACTTCTTGTTTTACAATGCATTTTGTTGATTATTAATTTATCTTGCCTTTTTTTTGCATTTCTGAAAGATTATTTTTAACTTGCCTAACCACACAATCCTCATTTAGATTTAAATTATTTGCTGCTTGCCAAGCAGCATATCTAATATTTTTTTGATTACTAGTTTCATCTCATCTAACTCTATTTCTTGCGTTTCTGCAAAGTCTATTTTCAACTTAAGTTGTTATTTGACATGTTAATATTTGTATTTTAACAAAAATATATATAACAAGATATTCATCATCACAAAAATCATCAAATTGTTTATTTTAGAGATGGAATATGTCCATCACAATTAAGGTCAGCAGTTATAAGAGATTTACTGTTTGTATCAGAAATAATAGCTGATAGACTACCAAATATATTCAATCAATTATTCAACATTTGAAAACTAAAAATTTGAATTAAAAAAAACATTAAGAATCAGCATTCTCATATGAATCTTTAACATGCACGTTAACATCGATAATTGTGAATTTATCACCTTTGTTATTAACCTGTTGGATAGCAACAGACTAAGTATTATTAATGAGAATAAATTGAGGCTTGAAAAAGTCTGAATCACTTCACATGATTGCAACACTACCAAAAAGTTTGCCTCAAATAAAACCAAGACATCATATGTGTCAAAAATATTTACAAATTTGCGAGTGGAACTTTGGACATCACAAAAAAATTTTTTAGCTTTAATGAATCAGGAAAACAAGAAGGGAGAAAATTCGACAGAAATGATGTTCAAATAAAAAAACTAGATGAATAAGAATTTTTGGAGCACTTAGGATAAGAGTTCTCAACTTGTTTCTTGCACAGCAGCCTTGTTCATCAAGGTTCAAGTTTCAGAGTTATAGAGTTGAAGAGGGTTATAACCACTACTAAGTAGCCTCCTTGTCTGTAGTGGCCTTTTCCGCTTTTGGGAGGTGAATTTTTGCAAAAGTGATTTGCAAGACACAATTCTTGCAAATCACTTTTGCAAGAATTGTGTCTTGTTGAGAAGCTGCTTTAATTATTGCATCAGGTTCTAATGAATTTAGAGATTTCTGACTCTACTTGACTTTTTGTTAAATGCTATACTTTTCTTTTCAACTTATTTTTTTAATGAGGAACCTGATTCAGATAACATATATATATCTATATCTATATCTATATATATATATATATATATATATATATATATATATATATATATATATATATATATATATATATATATATATATATATATATATATATATATATATATATATATATATATATATATATATATAAACAATTTTAAAGATGTATTCTACAAAAGAGAGTGCTCAATGTTCTTAAAAGAACAGAGCAATTATAAATTAGTAGAAAATCACTTTTTTTTTTTTTTTTTTAACATCTTCGCTTCCAACAAGGCTGCAAGCAACCACTATAAGAGTTGGAAGTTACTGGAAGAGAAAAGACTAAATCTGTAGAGCAAGATAACGATTGACTGATGACTTTAAAAATTGCAAATTATATGAATCAGGAAAGCAAGATGAAGGAAGCGAATTCCAAAGATTCCAAAGAACTGATGTTCGAGGAAAAAAACTAGAAGAATAAGAGTTTTTGAAGCACTTAGGAACAGTCACAGAAAAAGGATGAGACTTAATTGAATGACGAGTAACACGAGAATGAATTTTAGTAGATGGCACAAGGGATGCTAGCTCTTTAGAGCAGTGCCCATTATAGTATTTGTAGAAAAGAGAAAGAGAAGCAACATTACGACGATGTGACAAAGGTTGGAGATTGGCTGCCAGAGCAGGTCCAACTATGTTTACAATCCGTTTTTGCACCTTGTCTAAAAGAGAAAGAGGATCATTAGAAGATCCGCCCCAGATGTGGCAACAGTATTCCATACAGGGACGGATTTGAGATTTATAGAGATAGAGAATAGAATCTGGAGTAAGAAAGTGTCGAGCTCGATAAAGAGATGCAACCTTAGCAGATGCTAATTTTGCAATGGATTTGATATACGGTTTAAAAGAAAGATCAGAAGTAAGAGTTAATCCTAGAAGATGAATGGTAGATGACTCATCTAGTACATTACCATTCATAAATATAGGAAGATCTAAATTATTACGATAACGATTGGCCAAATAAAATTGAGTTTTATCTGAATTAAAGTTCACCAGCCACTGTGAGCCCCATGCTGTAGCAGAAGTGAGATCCTTTTCAAGCTCAGATACCCCCTCCGAGCAATCAGATAGTGTAGGCTTCTTATCATGACAAGAGTAAATGGTAGTGTCGTCAGCGAATAATGCCACCTTAGATGTGAGAATATCTGGAAGATCGTTAATGTAAATTAAAAAGAGTATAGGGCCAAGGATTGAACCTTGAGGAACCCCTGAAGTTACAGGATGTGAAGAAGAGTGTTGTCCATCGAGGACAACTTTTATACTACGATTGGAAAGAAAGGACTCAATAATCTTAAAGACGTTACCAGCTACACCATAAGAAGAAAGCTTATGGAGAAGACCAGCATGCCAAACTTTATCAAAAGCTTTAGAAATGTCAAGTGCGATAGCCTTAACCTCTCCACCTCTATCTAATGCACGGTAAAACCTATCGGTTATTACTGTTAGCACATCAGCTGTAGAAGCTGTAGAACTTGATGATCAGAAAGTAAGTTATTTGATTCAAGATGAGAGATTAAGTGTTTGTTGATTAAAGATTCAAAAACTTTGCTTATGACAGGAAGAAGACTAATGGGGCGGTAGTTAGATGAATCAGATCGCTCTCCGGAATTTTTGAAAATAGGGATAACAGATGCTGCTTTCCAGCATGATGGAAAACAAGACTCTGATAAGCACTTGTTAAATAGTTTAGAAAGTATGGATGAAAGCTCCGGAGAACACCTCTTCAAGACTACAACAGGAATGTTGTCAGGACCACAAGCTGTTGAAGAGTCTAAGCAGGAAATTACTTTAGTTACAGAAGCTGAAGTGATGCGAATGTCAAGCAAGGGATCAACCTGTTTGACGGCTATGTCAGGTAAAACGCAACTAGTGGAATCAAGAGATGATATTGATGAAAAGTTCTTAGCAAACAATTCAGCTTTGTCTTTAGGTGAGGTGACAAAGTCTGAACCATACAAGAGAGAAGGAATAACAGATTTGCCCTTATTATTGATACTGTTAAAGATTCTCCAGAAGTCTCGAGAGCCTAATTTTTGTGATGAGATACGAGATTTAATGACCTGGGAATAGCGAGCTTTGGCGTCAGACAAAACCTTTTTACAATGGTTTCTGGCGATAGTGAACAGATGTCTGTTTTCTGGAGAATTGTTTTGCTGATAGATATGGAAGTAATGGTTTCGATTAGAAATTGCTGCAGCGCAATGTGAGGAAAACCAAGGAGAAGAGTGAGGCTTGACCTGGAATCGTCGAGAGGGAATAAAAGATTCCATGCCAGCCTGAATCCACGAAGTTATGTAAGAAGCACATTTGTCAGCAGGAAGACGAAAGATTTCTACCCAAGGGCCATCACGAAGAAAATCACGGAAAGAGTCCCAGTCAGCTTTAAGGTAGTTGTATGTGGTACGATGATAGGGGGATTCTGATGGAGTAGAAGAATTTGATAATAGTTTTAGAGAGATCAAACCGTGATCAGAAGTACCTAAGGGTGAATGTGGAGAAATTGAGCACTGACTAGGATCCAAAACAAGACATAAGTCGAGTAGAAAAGGTAAATGATTAGGGTTGTCTGGAAAACGAGTTGGAAAGTTGACTATTTGAGTTAGAGATTGAGAAAGGCAAAAGTTGAGGGCCTTAACGCCAGCAGAGTCACTGACACTAGAGCCAAGCCAATCGGTGTGATGGGCATTAAAGTCACCAACAACGACGATATTGGCCGATGGATAAAGAGAGAGGGCTTGGTCAATTTGATCAGAAATAACATCAAGAATAGTGCAATCTTGGGATGAAGGAGAGCGATATAGAACAAAGAGAAAGACGATAGAGTGAAGTTGTGCTAAACGAAAGCACATAAATGAATAATCTGTAGATTCAAACCTAGTTTCACGACAAATGGGTGAGTTCTTACGAATGTAGATGCCCAGGCCAAGCATGTGATTATTGGAGTCTTTACGAATTAAAGGAAGATAACCATCAACACTAAGATCACAAGATGGAACAGCCGAACTCAAATTAGTCTCACAAAGAGCAAGTAGGTCTGGTGAACTTTGCAAGAGATAAGACTCAACAGAAGAAAAGTTACTTCGAAGACCACGAATATTAGTAAATGATAGGTTTAGAGAACTTGGTGATGACGATGGTTTTTTGTGTTTTTTAGTTTTAGGTACTTTAGTCATTTTAAATTTATAAAGAACTTGACTCAAGTATAGATAGTACTCAGTACACTATTTAACAACTAAGCAATAGCCTCATTACTATTAATAAACCCTAAGCCGTAACAAAGGGCTCCAAATGTGGCCTCTGCAATGCACACCAAATGTACAAACAGGGACACCATCCATGCGCAAAATGGCACTGTTAGTACTCTGTTATTTTTCGGCTGTTGATGGAATCAGCCTCTCTGAGAGCTACCACAGAGTTCGGGAAACCTGACTACCAGCCGGCCTCAGAACCATAAAACTGAGTTTTAGAGCTGTACCCTCATTAGGAGATAATAGAATGAGTTGCCCAGTCATAAAAATAGAGACACATGCAATACCCACGCATTGAGTCAAGAAGATCCAGCGTTCAACATCCTAAACTGGAAACAATGTATTAAAAAATACATCTGCGCCAGCCTAATAGATGAGGAAGGGGTGCGAGGCTGGTCAACAGATAGAATCTGTTTACCCCTTAAGTCTTTGCCTAGGAGGCCTTCTACAAGACAGCAGCTGGATGCATGTAACATCTGCCCAAGATGAGTATTTTTATCGAGACACCATCTCTAGCCTTTACTCAACCAAGAGCCCCAAGGCAGGGGGTGTTTTAATTCGGAGTTAACTTCTCCTAGCCTTTGCCTAAAAAAGCGTATCCTACAAGGCAGCAGGACATGGAGCAGGTTGTACTATATATATATATATATATATATACATATACACATACACATATATATATATAAAATTTTTTTCATTTTACATTCACAAAAATTTTTTTCATTCACAAAAATTTTTTTCATTTTACACTGTGTTTCATCAACAAAGATTTCTGATGAGTCTTTGTTGATGAAACACAGTGTAAAATGAGAAAAATTTTTGTTAAGGTATTTTCTACTAATTTATATATATATATATATATATATATATATATATATATATATATATATATATATATATATATATATATATATATATATATATATATACAACATTAATGCATATACATTAGATCAATGTAGGTTTATACACTTTTGGTCAACGTTGATCCCTATACATTAGATGAATGTTAGGATTAGATCGGAAAAACAACCAGTTTTTGCGATGATTTTACATATGTTGAACCATTGTGATTTTGCTAACTATTTTGAATCACATTGTTATTAAGTTTCATTGATATAAATACGATATAACTTAAATTGGATCAACGTTGTATTTGCATCAGAGAAAACAGCCAATATTTGCTATGTATTTATATAGGTTGGCTCAATTTAAGTGTGCTAGCTAAGTAGCATATGTTTTTTTTTTAATACATATACCTACATTTTTAATTTTATTTTTCACATTATATATCTAAAAAATTTAATTTTAGTTGCAATTTTGGTTTGGAGCTAAAAAGGTTGGTCTAAATTTTATTTATTTTAGTATAAATTTTATTTTCTAAACTTAAAATTGAAGTATTAAATTGTGCTTTATGTGCCCATGTGTTGAAGATTAAAATATCACATGTCATACTTCATTTATTGACAATACTAATCAATTTATCCACACAGAAGATAAGCAGAGTAACAAGTTTCTGGTGTATTTATAATCTAAAAAAAACATCTAAATAATAATAGTAATTATAATTAGTATTTTGTAATTTATTTAAATTATTTTTGTATTGTAATTTGTAATAGTTTGATATATATTTAAATTGATGTATTATAAAGTTAATACATCAATTTTACTTTTAATAATTAAAAAATCTAATTTTTGACAAAAATTATATATATTAAAATTTTATCAATAAATGTTTTTTGTTTATATAGACAATTATTGGGTGCACCATTATTTTTGCTTGCATGACTCCATTATTACCCTGTTCTATGTTACCTCAAAATAGGTAAGTTTTTGTACATACTTTTTATTGCTGGAAAAAAAAAATCAAAAGAGTTTAATTCATCTTTAAATTTTTTTTGTGAAAATTTCGTATTTTCTTGAATTTTAGTTCTAAAAAATATTAATGAGGAAAAATTGATAAGTAGTAGGGCGATTCCATGTAAAAACATCCAGGGCATGTAACCTTTAGTCTCAGATTTTGCTGATTTTTACACCACTCAAAGATTTTAATAAGTTATGAACATCCCCGAAATTTCATTATTTAATTTGATCCTAAGTTTCAAAAGTTTTATAAAATTTTACTGGAGGATGAGTTCAATGCAGATGTATAGGCTCAATTTTTTTTTAAATTTATTACAATGAATTAGATTGTGGTTGTTTCTAAAACAGAAATAAAAAATATTGGGAAATGTACATTAGAGTGGTCCGAAAAGCAACAACTTTAAAAAATTGTATTTTACTACATCTAAATATTCTATATAATAAAATAAAACTGGAGATAAAAATTTTAAAAGTGGGTTAAACAGGTACTCAAAAAAAGGGAAGTTATAAAAAAATCTTGAAAGTAATGTTTGTTTTTTAAAATATATACTGAAAAAGAAAATTTGTTTTGTACACAGAACAGAAACAAAAACCAAACCATTTTTTAAAATGCCAGATTTTTGTTCATGGTTAATTTTTAAAAAGTTATGTCTTCGAAACCATTTAGAATTAGATGATGAAATTTTGGGGATGTTCATAACTTATTAAAATTTTTAAGTAGTGTAAAAATCAGCAAAATCTGAGATTTAGGGTTGCACTTTAGAATACAAAGTAGACGTTTTCCCATAGGAATTGCCCAGTAACAATGTCTCAATGATGGTTCATACACATTCATATTAGAGAAATTTGTTCCTACAACCATGAACAGGTTTTAAAAGTTATGCTATAGCAGCTGAAATAACAAGTTAATAAATAACAAGTTTTCTGAACAAGAAAAAAAAAATAGTTTTCTGAACAAGACTTGCAATTGCAAGACAAGCATTTTATAGTCATGAATTCAAGTTGAAATTATTTTTTATCATTTTAAAATTAGTAACAGAGTTCATCAAAAATAATGTCAAAAATACACAGAGTTTCAATAGAGAAAATGGTTCAGAATATTTAACACTGGTGCAGAGTTGATTTGAATGTAGCTCAAATAAAACAAGTGTTGAGAGCCACCTATCGAAAAAAATTTAGAAAGTGATGCAAAAAACAGCTCAGCTGGACATTGGATTGGAAGATTAGAGCTAAGTTATTTTTAGTAAGAGTTTTTCAAGGGTTTAATTGCAAGTTAAAGGTTTTGGTCAGAAGATTGAAAAGCCTAAACTACAATTGTACCAATTTAATTTGGAATTAAATAGATTAAGATGGCAAACAAGTAACATTAGTTTGGTATTAAAATTTCAACTATTTATTTCTTAACTAGTAAAATACCATCATCAGTATATAATACCATCATCAGTATATATGCAAAATACCACCATCAGTATATATCCAACTACATCAAAACTAAAAAACTACCGTCTGTCGGTCATCCATTATATAATCAGGATGAATTCAGTATAGTTATATAAGTATTGACTGATCCATTAGAGCTAAGGTTTTCAAATAATTGTCGATTAGTAGTGGCAGATTTTTAATTGGTTTGCGTGAACTTGAGGCCTTTGAGCAAAAAATAACTGTAAAAACTTTACTTTAAAAGTCAGTCAATATCTGGGAAGAAGTGTTAGAAGAGGAAGAGAGTTGTAATATATCTTTACTTTTTTTGTTGTAATATATCTTTAATTTTTTATATATGTAATATATCTTTGTATATATTATATATATATATATATATATATATATATATATATATATATATATATATATATATATATATATATATATATATATATATATATATATATATATTTATATATATATATATATATTTATATATATATATATATACATATATATATATATATATATATATATATATATATTATATATATATATATATATATATATATATATATATATATATATATATATATATATATATATATATATTTATATATATATATATATTTATATATATATATATATATATATATATATATATATATATATATATATATATATATATATATATATATATAATGTAATATATCTTATCTAGAATAGTTTAATTGCTCAATTTTCAACTTTGCATATTTATGATCAACATTTCCTCTTGAAACTCCAAGAACATATTCCAGAAGAAGTCTTTGATCACTACTAAAATCTTTAAATGTTTTTTCATGAGAATGCATATTATTTAGGCTGCTAATTTTTAGTGGGAAATTAACTTTAGGGAAATCTTGATGGCTATTTTTTCAAAGTTTTCTAATTCGACCACTAAAAAGGTTAGGGCTTTGGTGCTTTTGAGATAAATAAAAATAGCTTGAAAGGGATGTTCATTTTGGTGAAGTGAACAACCAATAATATACAATTTGTAATTAATTTTCTTTTCTACAGCCGTTACAAGCCCACTTTTACAACCAGTGTTAGAAGCAGTAATGTCAAGGAGAATTTATAGAATAAGCAATCTTATATGCATTTAGAATACTCATCTTCTAACAAAAGTCCTGTAGCACCTTAAATTGACTGAAAATGAAATGTGAGTAAGATGTGATCTAATTTCAGACTATCCTGTAAAAATTAAATGGCACTGAATGTTTTATTGTCATAAAATATGTTTAGAAATTAAATATTTATCTAATCTTAGAAACTACAGAATACAAGACTGAAAATGAAAAAACTAGTTAGAAAAAAGAAATAAAATATTATCATTTAAAAAAGACCATATATTACACATTAAGATCTCAATTTTTTTATGATTTTTTCTTTTTTTTTCTATTGATTTTTTGCAGCAAATTGTTTTTTTGTTTTTTTTAGTTCTTTCTGAACAAATATCAAAGTTTTATAGTTTTAGAAAGCAATGTTTTATTGTTTTATAATCAAGTTTGTTTATTTCACATGATTTCAGAAGATAACGATATCATTAACTACTAATGTCAAGATACAAAGATATTTTAATCGGTTTGATTAGAGCCTTATTATAATTAATAAATATAAAAATCAACCAATGCATTACCAAAAACAAAAGCCAACAGTAATGTCAGCAAATTGATACTAAACAATCAAATTACTGCACTCACTAATAAAATCAACAAACAAGTTCAAAATGTATCATCACTAATGACATTTTTTTACAAATACAACTAAATCAAAAAATGTTAAAGAACACCACTAACTAAATTGATATAAATTTTTGATATTTGTAGACAAATGCTTTTTTTGCAAGGTAGCTACTTTTTTATCTTATTGACCCAAATGTAATGTGGCTCACAAAGATATTCTTGATTGAATAATCACAAGCCAGACTGGCATTTTGAATTTTAGGAAGCTGATTGTTTTGGCTATATGCCAAAAGTCATACAAAGCCTTTTGGCATGCAAATGCAGGAACTCAGAAAACTGTCAATGCTTTCTTAATTTTATAATTATTGGGGCAAAGTAATACTGGTATCAATTTATTAAACTGGAAAAGGTGTTTGAAGGTAAATCAGTAAACAAGATGTTTAAATTAGGCATCGTCTTGTACAATAAAGTGGTAAAAATGATTCTTCCAACATCCATTAAACATAGCATAAAAATTGTGTCACACTAAAAGTTATTGAAACTGTTGAAACCAGAAGTTAATTATGGACTAGATACATCCATTCAGGCTAGTTTTTTCAATGAGAAATCGCAGCATAAAAAAAAGTGTAAAAATACACTCAGTTGCAAGATTCTAAAAAGAAATTTTTTCTTAAGAAGATTCTTAAGAAACTTTTTCAATAAAATGACCAAAATAACAAAGTTGTCACTAGTAAAAATTGGAAATAGTAAAAAGGTGAATATAAAAAGTAGCTTCTGAAATAAAATAAAAAAAGAAAGGCATAATCTCTCATTCCTATTAATAATCATACACATTAAATTTGTAATAAAAAGCTTATAATTTTGTTTCAGCTTTGTGCAACATGCTAATACTTAGGTATTTTACAGCTGACAGTATTTAAAATACATGGCATAGAGTTATGCTTTTTAAATATTAGTACCACAATACCAAAAATAACTTTTAAAAGAATATTTTTTAAAAACATTCATGATTCTTTAGCAATAAAAAAAAACAAAAAATAATAAATAAATGGTAGATGTTGGTTAATAAAATGTATTAGTTTTTTAATTACAAATAATTTAATAATTTAGTCAAATGATAACTTATTTTAGTTTTCTGTTTTTTCAAAATCTAAAATAATTTAAACAAATACAAAAAAGTAATAATTTTGTGAATATGTAAATAATTTAATTGTTAGTAAAGGAAAATCTAAAATAGTTACACAGACAATAACAATATTTTGCTATTGCATATACTATAATGATCTGATCTATACATTTTGACATTTTAAAATGATGATCTTTGTATTTTCAATGTTATGAACAATATATTAATTTAATAATAACCTCATTTTGTACTATTTTAACGTGTTAGTTTTTTATATTTGAATAATATTTTTGAACTTTGTTATATTTTTTATTTTAAAAAATATTTGAATTTATTTGATTCAGTTTGTTATTATCTTTCTACTTTACATTTAAGAATTTTATAAATATTATTATCTTTACTTTTTTTTTTTTTTACTTTTTTCAAGTTTAATTTTATTAAAACTAGTTTTTGTGTTTTTTTTAATTTGAGATTTTTGTTATTGAATAAAAAAAATCACAAATTAAAAACACAAAAACATTTAATATATTATTAATATATTGTTCATAACATTTTCAATGTTATGAACAATATATTAATTTAATAATAACCTCATTTTGTACTATTTTAACGTGTTAGTTTTTTATATTTGAATAATATTTTTGAACTTTATTATATTTTATATTTTAAAAAATATTTGAATTTATGTGATTGAGTTTGTTACTATCTTTCTACTTTACATTTAAGAATTTTCTAAATATTATTATTTTTACTTTTTTTTTTTTTACTTTTTTTAAGTTTAATTTTATTAAAACTAGTTTTTGTGTTTTTAATTTGTGATTTTTGTTATTGAATAACTATTATAATAATTATTAGAATAATTATTAATAATTATTATTAGCTTAATTATTTATAATTATTCTAAGATTTCAGAACTTCAGTTTTTTTGAAAAATTTTGAGTTGCTTCAGAAAATATTTCTAATATTTAGTACATTACGATGGATCCTTCTACTGATTGTTCAAGTTCCTATTAATGCTGCAAATAATGTATGCTTCATCTGCATTAACATATTTTTGGGTAACAGTGTTGAACCTGATCTTTTGGGTACAGTTAATGGTTTAGGAATGTCTGTGTCTTGCATTGGAAGGTAACTAATTTATTTTAAAATCTGTACTTTTGGAACTAATTTTTTCTTAAATCTGTGCTTTTATAAAATACTTTAATTGAAAGTTCTTAATCAGTTACAAGTTTCTTAAAATTATTATTATTCATGACCTACTATAATTACATGGCCGGATATTTTCGGAGCGAAAAATTAGAAGGGTAACTTTTAAATATATCGTATAAAATGATTGGCCACACTTACCTCAATGAAAACTATAATTTTTATTGGGGTTTTTGTGTACGGAAGTGGGTATAAATTATAAAATTTGTTTGTTAAATATGATAAAAGTCTGATAAATTAGACGCTTTTCTTTGCCTGATGATTTTTTTTCTATAAAATACTTACACCGCTGAAATAAGAGAATTTCATATTGTAGTTTGTTCATCAATAACAATAAAATAATAAAATTTGTAATGACTTTATTAACTTGAACATATACCTCATATTGTATATATATATATATATATATATATATATATATATATATATATATATATATATATATATATATATATATATATATATATATATATATATATATATATATATATATATATATATATATATATATATATATATATATAAATATATATATATATATATATACAGTCACCCAAAACAACTGCATTTCCAATAAAAAATTGTTGTTCTATTTTTGCTTATGGTTACTTATTGTCCGCTATATATTTATCAACTTTAAAAAGCTGGAAGAATCAGTCCTATCTGGTAAACAACTTTTAATTAGTTGTGGGATAAAATATTGCAAGAGCAAGTGGTACACTTTGTTTATTATAGTGATAGGATAACTTGAAACCATTTTTTAAATTTGACTGAAGTAATTGGTCTTTATCATATACATGACAAAAAAGTTTCCATAATATTTCACCAGTATGTACATCAATAACATTATGAAACTGATCAAAATGAAAAGCAAACAATAAAGCATTTAGAATTTAGTAAATTATTTCCTATGTTTTTGAAAATAAGGACAATCATGAAGGCCATTACGTCTCGACTAATGTACATTTAAGAATAAAGGAACATTGTACAGGATTTGATGAAAACCAATCAATTGGTTTTTTGTATTTTATTTTATTAAGTTCAGTTATTAAATTGTTTGACAAACTATTTTCTTCTATATAATTCCTTATATAAGCTAGAATATTCTCCAATACACATTTTTTTTTTTTGCAATTCACATCTAATATTTTGAAACCATGGAGGCAATAAAACATAAGATAATTTAGAGAACAATGAAACATGCATAAGTTTATCAACAACTTTCTAACTTAAATAAAATATATATTTGTTATTATACATTTTGAGCCGATTTGACCAAGGTTAAAATTTTTTAAATCATTTAAACAGTGAGTTTTTTTCTTTTTCTATAAATATACTGGATTCATCCTGGTTATATTTGATGGATGACGGACAGACGGTGGTTATCTACCTTTCGATGTATTTGTATATACTGATGATGGTATTTTTTCAGTTAAACAATAAATATTTGGAATGAAATTTAAGTCCCAAACTAATGTTACACTATTGCCAATTTTTAAATGTTTTTCTTTAAAATGTTTAGTTCAAATAGCTGAATTTTTACAAAACTTTACTGATATTCAAAATTTGTAAAAATTTTTTTTTAATGTTAAAATTAATTCCTTAAAATTAACATAAAGGCATAAGATTAAAAAATGGCTCGTTCATCATTATGTTGCTATGCAACTGCTATGCAATAGTTATGCAAAAGCTATGCAATTATTTATTATTTAAAATATTTAAAAGGTATTATAAACAAAAAAACATTTTGAACCAAACTTAAGTAAAATAATTGATGACTATTTAACTGAGATTTGACTGGTGCATTTCAGCATCAAAGGGGATTCCTACCCGTGATCAATGGTTTGCTTCTACCCGTGGCTCATTTTTAGTAAATAAAAAACTTTTTACCAGTTGGCGCAAGTAATAATATAACTCTTGTAATAATATAACTTTAAACTAAATTTATCTATTCGTAAAACACGGATGTTTCAAGGTGGACTTCTCGTGTTCCTTTTTTTTTTTTTTTTTTTTTTATGAAAAGTTTTAAAAAGTGGGTACCATTAAACCTTATGTAACTTTTAAAATATATAGAGATAATTTTATTCTGTAGAAAGATTAAAAACACGAATAAAATTTCTCATCTTTTAACATTTAACAAAATATTCAAATCTTTAATTATCCAATAAACGCACAGATTTGACGATTTATGCTGACTTTCAATTATTACATCTGAAAATCTATATTTTTGATATTATTTAATATAAACATTTTAAGATTAATTTAAAAACTAAACTTTACTTAATAGATTCAGGGATAAAAGGTCGGATAAAAGATCTCAAAAAATATTAGAGATAATATCTTTAATAGGAGTTGATAAAAACACAATGAAACAAGTTAAATACAATTATTTTTTTTAAAATGAGTAAATCTATAGTAATAATAATAATATTTATTAGTAAAATTTCTCGAAGTAAATAATATTTAATTGTGCGAAGTTTATTTGTGTGAAGTTTTGTTTTAAATCTTCGCAATTATGGATTACATTCCATTTAAAAAACTATATTTATTTATTTTACAGTATTATAATAATAGTTTAAATAAATTTGTGAATTGTGTTCAGGCATGTACAAACCAAACGATAGTACATGTACAAAGGCCGGCGTGATAGGGGTGTGTGTGTGTGGGGGGGGGGGGTGATGATTCTATAATTTTGATGAAATTATCAAAATACTTTATTAAATATATAAAAACTTTTTAAAAAGCTTTTTGATTTTTGATTTTTTTATTTATTTTAAGGACGTTGGGACCCGCAATCTTTGGTTATGCTTACAGCTGGTCGCTATTAAATATTGAACTACATAAACTTGGGTTTCCATTTAATCAATACTTTGTTTTTTTTCTTATATCCATTGGTTGTTTGCTAAATTGTGCGTATATTTACTGGCTTATTCCATCTACGTTAAATAAAAGAAAAGTGCTTCCAGATAAAAGTGAAGTCGTTATCAGACTCAAAGAATATATTCATTATTAACATACTTATTCAAATTATTTTCAATTTTTTTAACTCTGTAAAGATCATAAATGATTTTATTATAATAAATATTTTATGTAGCAGTAAAGGTTAACAAGTATATAATTGTATTATTTGTAATAATTTATAAAGTTTGTTACAACATTTAATATCTAGTTTTGTTTTGTTAATTTTTTTAAATTTGCCTTAGATTCGATTTTGTCTAATGCTTTTTTTTAATTTTGTTATTTTTATATTTGAGATTTCTATTAAAGTTCCTACAATCCAGTATTGTTATTACTTTGCCGCCTTATGCAGAAAAGCTACTACTCCATTCTGTGCAGAAAAACCTTGTCGTTTTTAAAAGCAAAACATCATTTTTTTAAAAAAAGTTTTAGTTTATTAAAATCTGAAAGCAAATAAAAAAAGGCATAAGTTTATCAATTACGTATAACTAAAGAATAAAATTTTTTTATCTTTGCAACTCGGTGTAGTTATGGTGATTTACAAATTAGTTCTTTTATTTGCAATTAGCATGATTGTATCAGCGTATTACGTCCAAACAAGAGCTTTAGATGTGGTAATCTTTTTTGCTTCAGATTTTTAATACTTAAAGAAAAATTTCTTTTTTTATATAATTTTCATTTTCACCGTTTTACTACCCGCAATAGTGAATCTAAAGAACACCGTTTTGGAGTCTTTAGATCATTTTCGCTTAACGACGTTATCATGAACTTAGTTTAAATCTTTTGAAAAAGTGCCTTAACCCGCTATAGATAGCGGGTTAAGGCACTTTTTCAAAAGATTTTTCTTTTGAAAAAGTGCCTTAACCCGCTATCTATAGCGGGTTAAGGCACTTTTTCAAAAGATTTAAACTAAGTTCATGATAACGTCGTTAAGCGAAAATGATCTAAAGACTCCAAAACGGTGTTCTTTAGATTCACTATTGCGGGTAGTAAAACGGTGAAAATGAAAATTATATAAAAAAAGAAATTTTTCTTTAAGTATTAAAAATCTGAACCTCTTCGCACTAAAAAAAAAATTTGAAAAACTATTAGAATATTATTTTTTACTACATTAGCAAAGCATTTCCAGGTTTAAGTAATTAAAAATAAAGAAATTTTGTTTATTAAAGGTACTGTTTTATCTCGGACAAAAAATAAATTTTACCTACTAATTCTTAAGTATAAATAAGTTTTTTGATCAACATCATTATTAGTATATGAACTTGAACATCATGAACATCATCAACATGAACATCATTATTAGTATATGAACTACACTTTTTTTTTTTTTTTTTTTTTGCCAATAAATTTATTCATAACATAAAACATATGTAAATACAAATAGCAGGGGCAAGAAGAAGACATTTGTCTTATCGCCAAGCCCCTTAATCTAAACCATAATACACAATAAAAAAATATAAAAATCGTTAAACTGCAGCACTATAGCATATAAAATATTGTTATATAGATTTTTAATATTTATAAGAAACAAACAACAAACAAATAAAAGATAAAATTCATAGGTTCTGAATGCCCCTCTCTAACTATGAAAGTCTACTTTTTTTCTTATTTTAATATAACAAAAGGGCAAAAATTAAATACGAAAGTAAAAGCAAATACAAAGTATAGCAAAAAATTATATACTTGAAAAGCATGCACGCAAATACTCATAATCCTGAAACTTTTCTTTAAAATCAGTATACACGTTTACATATACATCAGAAGAAACCATGTGCTACGTTGCTCATTAACAGTCTTTGCTTCAATTTGGTCTTAAACTCATTAAGCGTTGCAATTGTTTTAAGATCATTAGTTTATATTTTATTCCATACTTTTGGTCCTCAAGTAGAAATTGAAAATTTAGTAGCTGCAAAATAATTTGTGGGCTGATGGTAGCTGTTAAACGAATATCTGGTTAAGTATCTGTTCTAATTTATTTTGAATAGCGGTTAAGAGATAAATTGTTATTAATTTTAAACATAAATATAAAAAAATGTTAGATGTTTGTTTGGTAGATATCCATTATATTTAGCTTAATAAACAATTCTTGGAATGTGTAAAACGTCCCACATTGGATATGATTCTGATTGCATGTTTTTGTTTGTTAAAAAGATTTTAATTAAATTTTTATTTGTACTGCACCAGGCAATGTTTGCATAATTTAGATGACAATGAATGAAAGAGAAATATAAAAATTTTATGCAATATGGATTTAAAAAAGGTTTTGCTCTCATCAGACCGATGTTGTTAGAGATTTTACTTTCGAGAAAATGTATGTGATCTCTCCACGTCACAACTTCATCAAGCAGAACACCGATAAATTTCAAAGTGATTTCTCTTTTTACGTCTTAATTGTCAATACAGAGTTTTGAAAGTTTTAAATAAATATTATCTTGATCATAAAAACGATGGAAGAAAGTATATTTCGTCTTGGTTATAAATAGTGATAATTTATTTGCACTGAACAAATCAGACCGATGTTTTTAGAGATTTTACTTTGGAGATAATGCTTCTGGCTGTAGTGAAATTTTTTTTTTACGTTTTTTTTATGACATGCGACACAGGCAGTGTAAATAGATCAAAAAATCATTATTCAACAGAGTTTTTTTTTACGTCATTTTTTCAAAAGTATCTATTTGAAAAAAAATTGAGGGGGGGGGGCAAATGTCCGCGGGAGCTACTGGCCCGGTATTAATAAAATTCTAGTTGAATAATCTTAAGTTGCCCGATTTGGTTTAAATGATAAACTTATGAAATAGCAAGTCATTATAAAATTTTTAAGAACTGTTGTTGATAAAACTTTAAAAAATTCATAGGCTTCAAAAATACGCTTGCAGAAATTTATTTTATAAAAAACTCTATTCCGTTAACATAAACGCGAACTTGCAAAAACTTTCTGAAAGATATGAAAAGGATCAATTTATTTGAAATAAATATCTATCAAACTCTCATTTTAATGTATAGATTTTACAACAACCAAATTTTAATAAGATGTTTGAAATAAATTTAAATGAAAAGTATAATCTAAGATCAAGTTAGACACTTAAAATTTGTCTCAAAAAATTTAACAAAATATTAGAGTAGGGAATAGCATATTAAGAACTTAAATATGAAACTTCTGTCAAAAAAAAATAAAAAATTTTCTTTCAGATCAATTCGCTTCTGGCTGTAGTAAAAATTTTTTTTTACGTTTTTTTTATGACATGCGACACAGGCAGTGTAAATAGATCAAAATATCATTATTCAACAGAGTGAATGAAGAACAATAAGTAAACCGAGGTAAAAAATAAAAATGGTATTTTTGCAAATGTGCAAATGCAAATAGTAATAATGCAAATTTTTGCAAAATTGCATTACTACTATTTCTGAAAATAAACTTACGTTTAAACATATATTTTTTCATTGCTCTGTAGGATAATTATTTTTTGATTTATTTACACTGCCTGTGTCACATGTCATAAAAAAAGAAGTAAAAAAAAAAAGTTCAACTACAGCCAGAAGCGAATTGATCTAAAAGAAAAAAATACGGCCAGAATTCCGGTACATCTCTAGTAAAAAATCAAATTATTTCTAGACCCGGAATAAGTTCAAGTTTCAGAATTTTTAGAAACGCCAATAGATGAGTTTTTAAAAAAAAAAAAATTAAATCGTTTCTTATACATACAGTCTATTTAAACGAAATATTTCAACCTGATTTATTTATCCATTTCCATACTATCTTTTCATTTCAATCATGTTATTCAAATTTAAAAAACTAAATTTTGCAATAACAGATATTCATTAATCATGTTTGTACTTGAGAAGAAAGAAAATATTACTTTTTACCTCAAAAAATAAGTTGAATGCTAATCATGATACGATTAGCATTCAACTTATTTTAAGATTATCAGCTTATTAAAATCAAGATTTCAAAGAGTTTTTAGAAGAGGTTTTTATTGTTTTAAGATATTTATGTAATCACGATCATCGGTCCACCCTACTATCTCTAGTACTGCATAACTGAAGTCGTGTCGTCGTATGCTTTGACGCAACTAAAATCAACTGAACTCAACTGCATTCGATAGCATATTTAAACAAAATATTTGTTTTTTAACTTTGACCATATATGGAAAATTTGCTGTTCGAATCATGCATTTAAGAGTAGTAATGGTCTCAGTTACAACTGCTGCTGCATCAAAGAACTGATGCATAAAAGTTTCAGAAAAATGTTTGAACATGATTTTTTGGTTGATAATGTAATAAAACTTGAAAATCGAAATAGTTGAAAATAGAAAAAAATAGTTGAAAATAGAAAAAAATAGTTGAAAATAAAAAAAAAATAGTTGAAAACTATATTGCATATAATAACATTTAAGTAAAAATTTATACGACATAAAAATCAAATCATTTTAATAAAACTAATTTATGGATCTCAAGCAAATTTTTTAAGAGCACTGTACTGATAAAGAGTATTATGGTATGGACCACCTCAGCTGTAGGTTATCTTCAACATTTAAAAATCTCTGATATTAGAAATTTTTAAAACAAAATTTTTTATACATAGTAATTTGAAAAATAGTTCCTATCTAAGTTATTGATCAGCATCTTTCTTTTCAACTGGAAACGGTTTTTCAACTTCTAATGCACCACAATCTGCTATTGTAATATCTTTTAGAGGTTGGTCTCGATTGTTTGTTTTTGACTTTCCTACTCGCTTAACAACATCCTAAAGTAAACAGTAAAGTCATTAAAATATTTACAACCATAATAAACTGCTCAACTAAATTATTTATTATAATATGTTAATATATTATAAAACATTAACATATCTATAGTATATTAGGACTTCTTATTACCATTCCTTTGGTTACTTTTCCAAAAACAGTATGACGCCCATCTAACCAAGGTGTTTTGGTAAATGTAATAAAAAATTGTGAACCGTTTGTGTCTGGACCAGCATTTGCCATGGATAACCAACCAGCTCCATAATGATTTAATTTAAAGTTTTCATCAGGAAACCTTTCTCCATATATACTTTTGCCACCTAAATTAAATATAATAAAACACTATATAGATATATACATACATTTATATATATATATATATATATATATATATATATATATATATATATATATATATATATATATATATATATATATATATATATATATATATATATATATGTATATATATATATATATATATATATATATATATATATATATATATATATATATATATATATATATATATATATATATATATATATATATATATATATGTATATATATATATATATATATATATATATATATATATATATATATATATATATATATATATATATATATATATATATATATATATATATATATATATATATATATATATATTACGCATTTGCCAAATTTTTTTAGCTCACCTAAATTTATACAGCTTTTTCGGTAAAAGAAGAAACATGAACAATAAAAAAAAACCTATCCCTGCCCCAACCCTCAGTTGATTAAGCAGCAACTCCCTTGCATGTTTTCTATATATCAGTTGATGTATGCACTAAAGCCCACAGTAGCTCCCTACTTCAGTTTAGCATCATAATGCTGAATTAAGTATGCTGTTAGATGCCATTAGATGAATAAATTGTAAGAATAAGAACAACAAAGCAAGTAATGTATGTATGAATATAACGAAAGTAAATTTATACATACATAACAAAAATAATATAACAAAAGTAACTAAGTTAAATATGTATTTAAATAAAAACTTTTAATCAAAAGTAAAATAAATGGCTATAAATTAACACTGTAAACAACATAAATTAGTGCAGATAAAATTTACCTGTTCCGTCACCATTTGTAAAATCACCACCCTGCATCATGAAATTATCAATTACTCTGTGGAATTTACTACCTTTATATCCGAATCCTTTCTAAAACAACATGTAACAAACAAAACGTCAATCCTTTAGAAAGAGCATAAATATTAAACTAAATAACTAGTAACAGTTATATCGATATTTTAAAAATATCGATATTAACATTGCTTTTCATATTTATGAATTTTTCTTATAACCCTTACATTGTGTGTTACTAGTTCATAAAAATTTCTTGTAGTTTTTGGGACAACATCTCCAAAAAGTCCTATTTCTATTCTTCCAATCGAAACTCCATCTTCCGCCAAATCGAAATAAACCTTTTTCGTGACTAAAAGATCTTCAGCAGAGCACAACACTACTGCACAAATAAAAACTAGGCAACTAAATACAGCCATTGCAATTAATGAGTAACAGCAGAGATATGTCAAATGATATAGTCGTACTGAGCAAACTTAAATTTATACAGTTTCGAATGGTTACACTTTCTACGCTTAAAGTCAATAATATACTTAGTTAAACATTTTGTACTAATGCGATCACAAGCTACGATTAATCCACGTTGCAAATCTTTTTTTAAATTTCGCGGTTTACGCTATTGCGTATGTTTTCTTTACAAATATATTTCACCATAACTATAAAATTAAAACAACAAAACATGATACTAATGTTAATTAATGTTATACACGATATTAATTCACATTATACATGATATTAATATCAATATTAATTAATATTAATATTATAAGCTTTTTGATTTAAAATTTGATTTACTAAAATTTTTCGTTAAATTACTATAAATAGTTTACAGATCATTTCAGGGATGGATGAATGTTTTACTAACTGTTTTAGTTTCAAGATTTTTTTTTTTTATTTGTTTGTTTTTTAATGTTGATATCATATTAAAAAAAGGCCACAATTAACGACATTTTTTTCTAATCTGATGCGGAGTTCAAAACTCAAAACATTTAAAGTGAAAAAACAAACTGAGTGTGTTTTTTCACTTTAAATGTTTTGAGAAATGGCGTCCACAGATTAATAGCCTTTCCCTATCTTTATAGCTTTACATTTTAGTTTTATTTTCTCAAAAATAAATTGATCTAATTGATCTATTATTGAAAGGAGCTATCGTTTTTTTAAATATATAACGACTAATTAAGATTTGAGTATATATTGAGAAAATTTTTAAGCGACTGATATTTTATAAAAAATATTTGAAAGATTTTTTTGAATCTACAGCTAATGATATTAGGAATTTAAACTTAAAACCATTTTATTTTAAAATTTTAAAAACTATTGTAAAGGAATGTGTCTCATAGGACTCAGAGATCGTCCATACGTACGTACGCTCAGAGGGGGAAAGGGGGTCTGCAAATGGCTCATTTGAGATGGGGGCAGTGGATCAATTATAAAAGTAAGGAGACACTGAAATAAAAAAATAATAATAACAAAAAATGTGATAGGTAGGTTAAAAGTGCATTTATTTTTAGGGAGGTGAAGGGTACTCAAAAAACTGTATAGCAAAATGCGGAGGAGGGCGGGGGTCAAAATAAAAGCGTACGTACTTTATGGACGATCCCAAAAAAATATTTTCATAAAAGCCGGATTTATATAAACTAACTTTTAATTATTATTATTTATTTTTTTTTGTGTCTGTGTGCGATATTGTAATACTAACGTCGTAGTTTTAAGAATTTTCATATTTTTATTACCTAATAATAACTGCCAAACTTCATTACAATTTTTTGGTACTCACATACTTAAACCTTACATACTAAAATACTTAAAATAGAGGGCCGTTTATAGAAAGCCAATTTGGCTCCTCTATAAGCTTTCATAGGTTTTTAAAGAATTTACTTTAAAAGTACTCATTTACTTTAATGATTGACTTTATTTTCTGTTACAATCATTTTACATCCATTATTTATGAACTGGATTTGAATTAAATAACGCTTATGTAACCTATATAACACAAACCAAGTGGGATTATTGAATAGATCCTCTGAAATAATTATTAAAAATCCTTTTTATTTTATCTTCCATTAATCAGTTAAATGTCAATCACATCATTCGTGCATACACTAATGATGTGATTGATATATATCTGATGAAGATAACGTAGTACTAAAGTACTGCGTCTGTTATCTTCAACCACATCATTAGTGTAGAAATGCGTCAGTTATCTTCAATCACATCATTCGTGTAGAAATGTGTCAGTTTTATTTCAATCACATCATTAGTGTAGAATTTTTTTATAATACAACAACAGAACTTTTATTTTTTGTTGTCATTTTTTGTTTTAGGTGCCCATAGTACTGCTTGATTCTAAAGGTTTTAGGTTGAATTTTGAAAGATACGAGGTTTATTTCAAATACTACTTATATGTATAGGTACAAGCTAGAATGTGCTAAAAATAAATCATTAATTGTCAGTTATTCCAACTGACAATCAATGATTTTTTTCATTAAGTTGTTTGGTATCAAACAAGCGCACCCACAAGGTTCTTTAATTGAAGAGATTATATCATTAAGTCAAATAAAAATTTCTGCATTAAAAGGTTACACTCATTCTGCCCAGATTGTTTTCAATTAGTTGTAAACATCTGCTGTTCAAAATGCTAAAAATCTTATTCTTTCCAAGGATAAAAAGATGTCAGAGCAAATAACCTCAATTGTTCTAAAGATTCAAGTAAAGGACTGAAAATTCGTTACAATTATGGACAGGTAAATTTTTACTTATTAGTTTTGTTTATGTAAAATGAATTGCAGCAATACTCTAATCTATTTTTAAGAGGATCATTGCTAACTGTATAAAAAAACTAAAACCAAAGCTCCTAACAAATAAAGAAGTCTTTATCGATACAATATTAGATATCGAGAAAAATAAATTTTGTTTAACTTTTAGGTAATAACATTTTTTATGAAAAAAAAGTTAGAAGAGCAAAGTAGAAGTTAGAGGAGCAAAGTAGAAATGAAAAAAACTTACGAGTTGATATTTTTGTCTTTGGCACGTAATACCAATTAGGATAACCATAATCTTTGAATGCTTATCAAAATAATAAACCTAAATTAGCTCAATTTTTTTTGTGGATTCTGTCTTAAAGCTCATAAACGTACTTATTGGCATATCAGTAAAATATTTTGTCTAATTTTAATAGTTTTTTACAAGTATCTATTAAAACATTAAACCTCAGAATTTCAAAACAATTTATTGTAGAGTCATGATGTAAAGCATGCTTGTTGTTACTGTACTGGTATAATTAGCTCATCAGGTGAATTTAGAACTTTTGCATCTTTAATTTCAATTTACTAACGCTACCAAAATACAGAAAATCATTATGACTATAAAATTATTTAAGAATGTAATTAAACCATGGTTACTTGAGGAAGATCCCAGAAAAGTTTAGAACAGGTAACAATCTCTCTCTTTCTCTCTCTCTCTCTCTCTCTCTCTCTCTCTCTATATATATATATATATATATATATATATATATATATATATATATATATATATATATATATATATATATATATATATATATAATATATATATATATATATATATATATATATATATATATATATATATATATATATATTTACCATCAAAATATAGAGAAGTAATCTTATCAGTGCATGTATTATGATTTTCTTGAAACTGTTTTCTTGACTTTATCCTCTTTTTTCTTAATTTAATTTTATTAATAACTTTACTTTGGCCTGTATTAGTAGTAATATCAAAATCCACCAACACAGCTGTTCGCATAACAATCAAAAATTTTCTGTAAACTTTTGTAATTTTACTGTACTTGATTTTGATTGGCTTAAACTGGCCCCTTGATTTATTACGACAGTAAGCCGATATTTAACTGTTGTAGGATGAACGGTAGGAATAGATGCCATGTTCCATAATTCCAATATATAATTTGTAATTTTACTATTAATAACTGCATTCTGTGAATTTGTATTTTTTTTTTTTTTTACAAAATATCTAACAATTTTATTGATAGTAAGCAGGTCATTCTTTGTTTAAAAAGCAGGAAGACCAAATATATAGTGGCTGCTTTCTCTTTGTTAAAGGTTAATTTGAAACATTGGTTTTTGTTCGAGTTGAATTTATTTTTTTTAATTTATTTACTTTAAAAAAGATATATAATATAATCGAGACATTGCAAAATTATGTTCATCTTTCCCGCTTGAACAATATATGTATTGAAAAACAATAAGACAATTGTTTATATCATTACTAATGATAACATATAATAATATTAATAGCAATAATAGCAATGATAATAATAACAATAATAGAAAAAAAACAAATAAAATTATTTTTTTTATTATTGTTGATAATAAATATATTATTTTTATTTGTTTTTACTATTAATATCCGGAAAACCAATACTTAATAATAATATTTTTAAGTATTGACTTTCGGATGCGACTACTCCTCATTTGTTCTCTCAAATTTTTTATTAGTTTTAAGCCTATTTAACAATTTTTAATATTTTATATATTCACATTGCATAGCATTGTTGGTTCAGTGGTAGAATTCTCGCCTGCCACGCGGGGGACCGGGGTTCGATTCCCCGACAATGCACAACTTTTTACATTTACATGATTTATTTAATACTACTTTTTAATTAACATTATTGGTAATGTTGCAGAATAGAGACGTTAATTTGTTTTTTAAAAATATTTGGCTATGAAAATAGCCGCTTATGTTATAGTTTAAACAGGATATTGATGTATGAAAACATGCAAGAAATAAAAGCTGAAATCAAAGGGTAATTTTTAAAACATTGACGCCATATAAACTCATGAAGATAAGATGTAAATAGATCTTCTGATGTCTTAAACTGTTGTCACAATTTGCGTTTTACACGCATCCACAAATTTTTTACAATTTGGGGATGAACTTCATCATCCAGGGGATCAACGAAATTGCGTTCATGAACAACAAAAACATGTGAATAAATACCGTTTTGGATGTTTTCAATTTCCCCATATGAAGCCCAACCATAGGAAATAATTTGAGTCCCAGGTAAAATATAACGTAAAATCATATCCTGAAGTGTTTCTGCAGTGCGATCGGGAACTTCTATTAAAAAACATTTACCTGAACCCCTTTCTATTCCACCGAACACCCAATGACCAGGACACCATTGTCCGCGATGATACTTGCGATGAAAAATCTTATACTCATCTATTTCCACAACAATTGGAGTACCATCTTTATTTATTCAACCAACAACATTAGGATTAGTTTTAATCTCTACTTCGCATACATCTCGACAGAAGTGACCCCAATCTACAAGCGTATGGTTGACATTACTCAAGCGGGCTTCATGTTGTATGTCTTTTAGTTGCACAAACCTGCTCCAACAAAAAGTAAAGAGTATAATTTGTTTAACGACAATTTACTTCTGATAAAGAATGATCCATCGCGAACACTTCGGCGCCGCTTGCATTCTTTACAGTAACAGCAGTACCTATTCACTGTTCCTTTGTAAGCTTTTAATGTAAAATGTCGATTACAAGGATTACAAAAAAAAACTTTTTTTAATAAGCTTCCGCTGAGCTAACCATCGTAGTGTAAACATGGGTTGATTTAAACAAGACCCAAGTTCAAACAAACACCAATTTTCCGTTAATATTGCAGCCTCATTTAGTATTTCTACTTCTGGAACAATATTTGTTGAAACACTTGGTCTTCCGCGATTAACACGTTGTAAAACCATCTAAATTATTTATTTTTTAAAAGTAAAAATAATAGATATAAGTTATATCTATTATTTTTACTTTTAAAAAACTTGTAGTTTTAATATATAACTACTAAGTTGTTTAAAACTTTTAAACAACTTAGTAGTTATATTATAACTACTAAATAAAATAATATATATATATATATATATATATATATATATATATATATATATATATATATATATATATATATATATATATATATATATATATATATATATATATATATATATATATATATATATATATATATATATATATATATATATATATGTATATATATATATTTTATTTTATATATATAACAACTAAATAATATATATCTTACCTTTTCAAAAAAAAAATAATATATATCTTACCTTTTCAAAAAAAAACACAATAATTAATTAAATTAACTCAATAGTTGAATTTTTCTCACTTTTTACTTTTATTAAAACTCCATCACAGATTTTAAAAAGCAAACGACTTTTTGGAAGCTGATACTCCTATCATTTCTGCTTGCAGCAACTTAAGTTGTGAATAAAATTACATCTAGTTACTACAATGCTTTAATCTTCAGGCAGTAAAGACATAAGAGAGCAAAACTTCACTAATGTGATGGCAACATCCAGACCAAAGAACATAACGCTGAAATTATCTTGTATAACAATGCAAACTGCAGACAAGTAACAAATTTTTTAGCTTGATGTGTCATGTCATGTTAACAATTTGATCATTATAATGCCACTCGGTCATCAATTTAATTGTTAGCTCAGCAATGAATTCTCCAACTTTTTTATTCGTGGCTTTGGTGTTACATGGCCTTGGTGTAACATGAGTCTCCAAGAAGCTTCAGCTACTTTAAATCACAAATGGATGGTTCATAGTTGTTCTCTGATGCTATCTCACCTGTTACCTTGTGTCGTGAACAATCGAAGATTGCATAAGATAAAGTAATCATAGATACATCTGTATATCAATCATTAATACATCTAAATTATAGATACATCATGTTCAGGTACACCCAATCCTCAACACTATTTATAAGGTTTTTCACTTTTGGTGGTCAGAATTGGAAAGTTGATGCCAACATGAACTTAATTTCTTCCAATTTACCCTCAATGGATGAGGTGTCACGATGGTTTTTGTCAGTTGAACGAAGTTTTTTTCTTTCATCAAGAAGTTTAACAATTTTTTGGCACGATCTGCGGTCTGTAAACTTGTAAACAAGTTGGAAGTCTGCAACCCGTTATTGTTGACTCATCAAAGCAAATCACTAAGCTAACACTGAAGAACTCAGCAGCCCAACGAGTTTGTGGTTGCTGTTTTGAATGTGATGCAAGAGCATTCAGTGGACATGAGATGGTGAAGTGATAACATTTGATTTGTCCTTAGGCAGAGGTGTCAGTAATCCAGGTGGATTACAAGTTAATAGATTTTACTGAAATAAAAGTGTTAACAACAATAATATTAATTAAGTTTCTCAATAGTTTTAATCAGTCAGTCGTTTTTTTTAACCTCTGCTAAACAAAAACATTTTTAAAACAATCTTTATAATTAATCTTGGATGGAGCAAAAATATGCAAACACAATAAAACCTTTTGAGATACAGTAATGGCAAAATTTACGGCATATTGTAAAATTTAGTCCCCAATAATTCAATTCAAGTTTCTTATTAAATTATTCAAGTCAAAGTTAGTTAACCATCTAATCCAAGTACTTAAATTGTTTTTCAAATAATCTTCATGTTGACGCAAAACTATGAAGCTGTAAGTCTAATAGTATTATATATTTAGGCTTTTATTTTCTTTCCAACTGTTTCAAATAATTAACCTTCCTAATTTGTTTATTTTGCATAATTTGTTTATTTAATGCTTTAGTTTGGTTTTACGTCTTTGTTAAACAGTTTGGATCAGCCAAGTTATTCGCTCCCCCCCCTCCCCACATAAATTAAATCTTAGTTTGTGTATGTCATTTTCAATAAGATATGAATTTTCCTTAAAATGCCTAATTGATTCTAAACTTTTATTCTGAACTGTAGTTATCAATCGAACCTTATAATGCCTAGTTTTTGTATTGACTATGTAAATGATAATACTTAATTTATATAGAAATTATAATTTGAAAACTGTTGTGGTTTCATTCTATTGTAATATAAAGATGCCTCGAAAAACGGGATAGGAACAAGAAGACAAATAAAATGTAACTATTTAGATGCCTTGCGCTTGTGCACTTTTGGTTTATAAGTTTTAATAATTATTTTTGTTCTTTTTAGTACAAAATTAAAATTCATCAATAGATTTCAAATTTTCAAAATTAAAAAGACTTTGTGAAGTTGTGCCAATATAAAAATAAATATCTGTTTTTGAAGATGGTGGTGGGGATTGCGGGAGGGTTAGAGTTTACGGTCTTCTTTTACTTTTAGAATATATATTAAAAAAATGTTACAATAATAAAAATAACACTTTATCAGTAAATAAAAACGAATTGACACTCTATCAAATCTAATGGGCCCTCTGGTTTCACAGTAAATACAATAGAAAAAAATGTTTCAACAATTTTAAATTTTAACAAGCCATGCTATTGAAATTACAATCAAGACGTGTGAAGATACGAAACAATTAAATTCAGAATACAAAACCTTTTATAACATCATAATTTTTGGCAATTCAGAAATCGAACCTTGATATATATATATATATATATATATATACATATATATATATATATATATATATATATATATATATATATATATATATATATATATATATATATATATATATATATATATATATATATATATATATATATATATATATATATATATATATATATTTAGTATAACACTTTTATATATATAACATTTCTTCTTTAGATAAATAACCTCTAATTTAATAATTATGTTTGCACATAAACTTTATTTTTTAAACTTTAGTTTTTTAACCGTGGCCGGAACTTACTGACGAAACAATATGAACAATTGCTGAATAAAATCCAACAACACCAACAAACGTTCCGCTAAACATTAGTAAAATTTCTGAACAACGGCGCCACTTTGCTAAATTTTTCCACTTTAACTTAAGATGAAAATAACAAGGAAAAACAAACATTAGGAACGTACCTAATACACTACCTCTTATTGATAACAGAACTCCAAAATAAGGCATGACAATTGCAATAGCTACAGATAACGCAACAGCAACCAAACGGGTAACAGCAACCCACACGTACAAAAGCGTTTTATTTTTTTCAACTTTGGTATCATCAATTAAACTGTCGATAGAGTCATTTACAAGAAATATTGACAAAGGGTAGTTAAATATAGCATAACCAATCAATCCAATAGAAGATATCATACTCACTGGTTTACTTAAGGCCACGGCATTCAAAGTTATCATACTTTGAGTGTCTGGTCCGAACGACAATGAACCTAATAAAGCAAATGTAAATTTCAATATTGTCGTTAAAAAAAACGATTGATGGATAACCTGATTAATCTTGGAACTGTTTTTCATGCTTCCTTCAACTTGTGGAAGAATTGAGTGTGTAGAGCAAGATAGCATTATAATTCCGAAGGAAAACAAAAATCCATGTCGGTGCATAACTTCAATATTTTTGGAATTATTTTTCCAATTTCCAGATTCGATACAAAATAAAACTAAAACACTAATAATTGCCACAATTAAAGAGCACAAAGCTGTCATGCTGAAATAAGCAAGAACTGATAGTTTTCTAATAAACAACAGCGGATACACTGATAAAGAAAATATAACAGTAGTTGCTCCCAAAGGAAGACTTGTGTATGGTTGTAATACAATGTGAACGTTTGTACCTAACATTACAATATTAACAACGCATCCTGTAAATTGATAAACAATCAAAGTTGTACGTAATATCCTGGAGCCATTTTCACCCCAAACTGCGCGTGCAACATCAATGTAACTTCCATTCACTCTCTTTCTTAGCTTGCTTCTTGGAGATATTGCGTATAAACAGTCAGCTAACAATGTTTGTGTCAGGTCAGCCATTATGCATATAAGAATCATAACAAGTAGAACTAAATAGCCACCGTCTGCAATGCAAAATGGCATACTAAATATTGATGTTCCCAATGGTAAAATATTTAACATTGCTAATGGTATGGATGCACCTAAAAACAATATAAAGCTATTAAGAATGTATCATAACTAACGCATTGTCAACCGAAATATCAGCTAATTATAATGTCTGCATTGAATTAATAATTATATAACATCTTTAATAACGTAACTTAAAAATAACAAAAAAGTAATGATCTAATATACATTTATGTTTTTATATGCATAAAAAATAAAACTACAATAAACTAATTATACTACAGATAACAGTATTGTAAATTTATGTTGTAAAAATAAGATAATAAAAACAAAAATTAGCATTCAATATTTTATTTCAATATGAGAACAGCTAGTTTGACCGAACTTTTTGTACCATCTCATAAATTCGGTCACTATATACATTCCTATTCCAAACCACAGCTTTCTATAATACGAGGCCTTGATAACGCGCAATAAAGTTGTTTGACTGAAGGCCGATTTGTAATACTGCGTTTAAATTTTCATCTTTTAACTTTAGACGAAAGTTTGCATTCGCATTTTTTTAAATAAATCTTTTAAATTCGATTGGTTTATAAATTAGATAAAAAGTAACTTCAGCGTAACTTCAAGTCGTAAAGTTTAACATTATAAAATATTTTCGAACTAACGATAAGATATTATAATAGCTAAGACGCCTTTAAAATGTTGTGTACCTCTTTGCAAGTTTAACTATCACTCAACTACAACAAAAATATCCAAGTATAAATTCCCGAAGAGTTTATAGAAGAGAAAAAGAGCAGCCGTAGCGCAGTGGTTAACGCGCTACGGCTGCTAGCGCTACGGTTAGCGAGAGATCTGCGGGTCAACGCCACCTATGACCAAGTTTTAAAAAATTGGTAAGGAAGGTGACGTAAATTATTTTTTAAATACTCTTCTGAGGTGATCTGTAATAAGATTGTAAGGACTTTTTGGGGCACCTAAAATAAAAAATTAAAAAAAAAAAGGTTGAGGGATATTTTAGTAAGAACATATTTTATTGCTTTAGACTATACAGCAGTAGGTCGACTGCATCAGCCAGATGGTTCACCTTTTGATGCTAAATATTGGAATCAACGGCTATTAAACCCACCATCTGTTTTTAAAAATAACTTGCCTAGTTGTTTACCCAAACCAGCAAGTAATGTTAGAAAAACTGTAACTTCAGGCGGCTTTCAAAGTTTTTTACCAGATGAGTTAAACCATTTTCTAAAAAGATAATAAAAAAAGTTTACATATACAATCAAAAATGTATTTATTGTTCCATTATTTCTTTTATAAATTTTTAAAGATTTTTCATTTGTAGCTTACTCTACCTTGTTTTTATATCCAATATTGGATTAAGTTCTTTATGAAACGTATGCTTTATGTACATTTGTAAGATTTCATTCTTAAGAGGTGATTTGTGGAACATCTGAAAAACTTTCCGAACCTTCTAAATATTTAGGCTACTTAAACCATCAGTGAATGTAAATTTTTTGAGCTTTATGACTCGTCCAAATTTATTAAATGCAATTATATCAACATAATCATCACAATCACTAGAATTGTCTTCAGAATCTTGCAACTGTGAATCATTTTTAATACTTTTTGCCTCTGAAGGGTTTGAGGTTTTTTTTTAAAGAATGTCTAAATACAGCTAAATGAAGTCCATGGGTTTAACACTTGTTCAATACCACTTCAAATACAAATTTTTTATTACGGATGCTCTGTCAGATGTGCCTTTTCATTACTAAATTCAAATCTAACAGTTTCTTTTTTACTTGATCTACAATATTTTCTGCAGAAAGTGATCCAGTTATTGAAGCCAATCCCAGGTTCCAAAACTTTGTTGATAAGTGTAAATTATTATATATATTTAAATGATGTTGATTTCTTAATGAAGTATATTTGTCTAACGATAAAGAAAATTGTGACCTATTTCCAAAACCACACATTGTTTGGCTATATTATATTGTTTTTTTATAGTATTCATAACATGGAATGGATTTTTTGGTTACCATGCCTTTTTCTAACAATGATTTTCTAATGAATTCACATTTTTTTAGAGAATCCGTCCATCCGATAGAGAATCCGTCCACCGTTGCTAGCTTTGACACAACTTCCTCAATAGCCTGCCGTTTAGCAAATGTTGTGATTTTTTTTTCACATTTCCAATTCCAATCCAGTGTCTTCATGTGGAAAAAAAGGACAAAAAAAAATTTGTTGACTTGTTGCTCCTCACATTTGGGGTGGGGGGTTTGATGAAATTAAAGGGCTTTCTTGTTCCCAGGTTTGTTAGAGCTTGAGATCAAAAAGCCCTTTATTTAATTTTTTTTTTAATTTCGCAATATTTTGCAAAGCATCATTATTTGATATAAGTATAAACCTACAAATGTTTGGAGTTTGCTCCATGTCTGGATGTTATCTCAAACTATATATATATATATATATATATATATATATATATATATATATATATATATATATATATATATATATATATATATATATATATATATATATATATATATATATATATATATATATATATATATATATATATATATATATATATATATATATATATATATATATATATATATATATATATATATATATATATATATATATATATATATATATATATATATATATATATATATATATATATATATATATATATATATATGTATATATATACATTTAAACCTAATTGATTGGCACGTAATGCCTGGCAGCATAGCACCTAGAGCTCAACATCGAATCAGATTTTATCGCGAGATTGTCAGGAACTGCGAAATCAGACATAAGTTTTTTAACAACCGTGTAGTCAATAACTGGAATGCTTTGCCAGATAATGTCATCGAGGCAACATCAATTGATAAATTTTAACAACTACTAGACAGTTTTCAGTCATCATAGTTGCTGCAACTCATCATTTACCGTAAATGCCACACAAAAGTGGCCGAAATACGAGTTGGGTATAGATGCGTATACTCAGCTGATGATGAGATTAACAAGGCTGTGGCTTTGTGTAACTTAAATTAACTAACTAACTATATATATAACTAACTAACTATATATATATATATATATATATATATATATATATATATATATATATATATATATATATATATATATATATATATATATATATATATATATATATATATATATACTAAATATACTAAATCAACGATTAATGCTTTAAACTTATTTGCACAAGAGACAAAAACCACAAGTAGCAGTGGCGAATACAGCATTTTTTGGTATTTGAGCTAACTTAAAGACACAGAGTTATCTCCAAAAATTTACATGTCAAAAAAGGATAAGCTGTTCTGGACTAAATTATATTTATCAATAAATTTTAAATTTCAAAGAATAATTTTTTAGCGTTCAAAAATTACGATATAAAAAGTTTGAAACATCCTCAACTTATGGGTGTTACAAATTTTAAATGATCATAATTTTTGAAATCTAGAAGATTATTCCATGAAATTTAAAATTTATTTATGAATATAAATTTAGTTGAGAATAGTAAAAAAAATATTTTTAAACATGTGGCTCTCACATTTGAGGCTAGGGTATGATGGAAAATTATTTTAGGACTTTTTTATTCCCAGGCTCCAGTCGTCATTAAATTTGTATTTATTAAAAATAAATACAACTTAAGAAACTATAATGTAATTCAGCAACCAATTTTTAATAATAATTTTGAAACATTAAGTATTTTATTTCATAGAGCTTGTCTTAGGATTATAATAGCTTTAAAATATTTTGATTTTTCTCTTTAATGGAGTTATCTATTTAAGAATAAATTTTAAAAAATTGTTTTGTCTCTTGATTTGGGCATGCAAAATAGCACATTTTACTTACAACAGTAATACCGCAACCACTTTTTTTCCAATATTGGTAATACCGGTATTATACCGTTATTAAAGACAAAATTAGAAAAAATAACTATTGTTAATTATCAAGTTAACATAAAGTATCTAGTGATTTATCATCCCCCACTAAACTTTAATTAGGTATAAATAATGATAGCCGCGGAAAAATTTTTGATTCAACACTTATAGGTTTTATCGTTAACAAAACTTGATAAATTTGTTTAACATGCTTTCCTTTAAAATGTTGTTCATTAAAAGATTGTAAATTTTTTTTTATTCTTGCGATAAGACTACCATATGCATTTGAGGAATTATTTATTTATAATATTATGCAGTTTGTCTTTCAATGATAAGGTTGTTCTTTGTGATAATGTCATAACAACACGTCAGTCATTTTTAATATTGTTGTTTATGCTTTTTGATCAACTATGTTTTTTGTCTTCATTTTGTTTAAATCGCTATGCAAGTTTAATAATTAGCTTTGAAATTCTTTTCAGTATTGTTAAAGAAACCGTAATTACAGGCGTTTAGCTCTTGCTGCGGGATTTTAAAGATAATCTAGAACATCAGAATTTATACTTTGTCTTTTTTATTTCAAGAATTAATGCAACCTTCATTTCTAAACTTATTGGTAGACTTTACTTCATAATTCATCCAACACAAATTGATTGACTGCAATGTAAGGGAAGACGGGGAACATTCAACCACTTAGCTGGTTTTTATTAATTTACAAATGATTTTTCTACCAAAAACATTAAAAAAATTTTAGCATTACAAGTAATGGTCTTGAACCAACAAATTAAAAAGATAATGTATATAAAATATTGATTTTTGATAAATCTACCACTGTTTTTAAAGTAAGCCTTAAAGTGGTCAAATGTACCCCACCGGTGGGGTACATTCAACCACCTAGAGTACTTTCAAACATATCATTATTAGCGAAATAATAAATCTATAAGCTTTCTTTCTTATAAATGTTTTGTTGTACAATATAACATTCCACAAAATATTTAAAAACAAATATTAATAGCTGTTTTACAACAAGATTTGCGAAGTTATATCAAAAAAAAAATTACGTTGCCGTTCTTTCCGTCTTTGTTGGAGTCGCAGACTTTAAAAGCGTTTTTTTTCAGGTTGATGACTTTTCTTTTTTTTTTTAATTTTTTCTAAATGAAGTTTTTCAATCTTTTCCTTTTCAGGATTATTAGCATATATCGTTGACTTGATTTCCTCTTTATTTATTTTGTCTTTGAGAAGCTTTAGGCAAGGGGTGCACATTTCTAGAATCAGTTTTTAATAAATCAATTTTTGTTAGAGTTATTGTAGTTGTTGCAGGAGGAATATGTTTCATTGGTAGACAAGAGTGGTAATTTAATTTGTAATGGTGTACCTATTACCCCTAGACTTTCACTTAGTTCTCCCATTAGGGTTCTATTTGTGACATATTTAGGCATTATATCTTTTTATGGCTTGTGGTTCAGACAGTGAATTATTAAAAATACTAGTAATTTTTTCTAATACCACATTTTCATTTCTTTTATTTCTATATGTTTTTGTTACATATTTTTGAGGCATCTAAAAGATAAGAGAAATAAATTGTTGTGGTATTTTCAAGCACCAGTCGAATGTTCCCCAGCTAGGTAGATCGAATGTACCCCCACGTGTTACATATAAACAAACGCTGTTAAAAGCCGAAATCAATTTTTTAAAGTAAACCAAACACAAAGGTTTTTAACTCAAGATAAAGTTAAACAACAAAAAAGTTTAGAAGGTTAAAATTGGAAAAGAGATTCTCTGAGGGTTATTTAAAACATAAAAAAATTACTTTATGCATCAACAAATTAGATTTTCTTTTATATAAGTACTAATACTAATAAAGATGGATCAATCTTTATTTCACGCGATAGCTTATTAACAGACAAAACATGGATAAAAATTTTAAGTGGTAATTTTAATCATGTTGGGAAATATTTGAAAAGATCGAATGTTCCCCATGGTCGAATGTTTCCCGTCTTCCCCTACCAGTAACACAACATAATTAAGTTCTAAAGAACAATAGTTAAATTTTTCTTCTAAATCAATCGAGCTTGACACAATGATACAACTTATAAGTTGATCGAACATATCTTGGAGATTGTTTTACCTGGTTTTAGAATCTAAAACTAATGACATTCCTTTTCCAAGCATGTCTTTTGTGTGTTTTTGTAAAACGGAATCATTTTTTTCATTTTGAATGTTTCTCAACTTTTCTGATTTTTTGATACAAAGAGTAAACATCAGTGTTTTTAGTATGAACTTGAGATGATATATCTACAATTATAACATTTATTTTTATTTCAGATTAGGTTTCCTCGTTAGAGTCAGAATAAGTTTTCATTTTCATTTTCTTGCCCGCTAGTAAAACCGTTTTTTTTCTCTAAAAAGCTTTATGAATGGCTAATTAAATGCCGTGTGATATACATAATTGATATTGAACTTGTGCCGCCGATTTCACAATGATGTGTTTACTCGTCCAATCTTAAACTGAACTTGAACAATGTTAAACTGAACTTGAACAATGTTAAACTAAACTTGAACAATGTTAAACTGAACTTGAACAATGTTAAACTGAACTTGAACAACGTTAAACTAAAATTGAACAATGTTAAACTGAACTTGAACAACGTTAAACTGAACTTGAACAATGTTAAACTGAACTTGAACAATGTTAAACTGAACTTGAACAATGTTAAACTGAACTTGAACAATGTTAAACTGAACTTGAACAATGTTAAACTGAACTTGAACAATGTTAAACTGAACTTGAACAATGTTAAACTGAACTTGAACAATGTTAAACTGAACTTGAACAATGTTAAACTGAACTTGAACAATGTTAAACTGAACTTGAACAATGTTAAACTGAACTTGAACAATGTTAAACTGAACTTGAACAATGTTAAACTGAACTTGAACAATGTTAAACTGAACTTGAACAATCTTAAACTGAACTTGAACAATGTTAAACTGAACTTGAACAATGTTAAACTGAACTTGAACAATGTTAAACTGAAATTGAACAATGTTAAACTGAACTTGAACAATGTTAAACTGAACTTGAACAATGTTAAACTGAACTTGAACAATGTTAAACTGAAATTGAACAATGTTAAACTGAACTTGAACAATGTTAAACTGAACTTGAACAATGTTAAACTGAACTTGAACAATGTTAAACTGAACTTGAACAATGTTAAACTGAAATTGAACAATGTTAAACTGAACTTGAACAATGTTAAACTGAACTTGAACAATGTTAAACTGAACTTGAACAATGTTAAACTGAACTTGAACAATCTTAAACTGAACTTGAACAATGTTAAACTTCATCCCTTGAACTTTTAAAGATTAAATATCATTAGTCAATTTTTTTAATTATTTAATCCACTAAAAATCTTTTGTAGGTATTTGAAAATTTAGAAATATTTTTGAAACTTTTAGCTTAGTAGTAAGTTAGAAGCTGCGAAGATATTAAATAAAATTTACGGTATTCAGAGAACAAATACCGGTAATACAAAACAAAATTTTACAAGCAAATACCAGTATTACCGGTAGTAACGAAACCGGTATTGCATGCCCTATTCTTGATGATATATTTTTATATTTTTAACATTAAAAAATTTGCTTTATTATTTTGTGCATTTATGTATATTATGGAGTTTTTGGAATTTTTAATTTACAAGCTGTTCTCGATGACAAGATCTGATTTATTTTAGCAAATTTTTGCGTAAATCTTTAACTTTTTGTGTAACAACTTTAAACTTTTTTTTTTAATTTTTAATTGTAAAACAATTAACTGAGACGTAAAAAAATGAATAAAAAAACGAAGAAAAGATATATTGAAGTTTTTTTGTTTGTTCACTGGTTTGACAACCTTTTCAATATAAATATGTGTGTATACATATACACACACACACATATATATATATATATATATACACACACACACATATATACACACATATATATATATATATATATATATATATATATATATATATATATATATATATATATATATATATATATATATATATATATATATATATATATATATATATATATATATATATATAGCGCCAACATCACAGATTTTAAAGTGGAGGGGCACAATCGTCAATTTTAACATAAAGTCCTCTATATCTAGACATTTCTTAAAAAAAGAAGGAAAAGAAGCTCCTTTAAAAAATAGTGGGGGAGGGGGAATAGGAGGATAAAACCCCCATGATGTCATCGGCCCTGTATATATAATGTCTAAAATGATAATTATTTATTAAAATTAATTGCTTGAAAAATTACCTCTGTCGTTGGACAACTTTTCAACAAAGCTAAATTTTGAATTCACTGGAAGAAAAGCTTTACTAATCATCTGAGATCGACAAGCTTCAAAAAGAGAACGTGTAACTTTACGGTTGCTAAGTGAAACGGTTGGTAGAAACACAGAGGCGCGAGCATCATCTGCCAATATATTTCATTTATTGAAAAAAAAAAAAGAAAATAATAGAATAAAATATAATAAATGCTTAGAAACTATGCATCTTGTTAGCTATTTGTCTAAACATAAAATAATTTTTTTTAAATGTGTAATTTAAATGTTTTTTTTAAAATACTGTTTGTTACTATTTATATTGTATATTTTTCCAGGTTCTTTAGTTCTTAAGGTTTATTTTTCTTGTTTATACACATTTGAAATACCAAATTTTTATGCCTGTGGCATTCTATTGTTTAGTAATTAAAATTAATTAAGAATTCTTAAGATTTGATTTTTTTTTGTTAAATGATTTTTAAATTTATGGTACTAATTTAGTATAACAACTTCTAAAAGAAGTTTTAATTTAGATTTAAATTGCAGAAATGTTTTTTCTTTAATATTAACATTATACTCAGCAAAATAGATCCCCGTTACTGAACATATTAAGTAACTTTAGATTATATTTTTGAGTAAGAAAACTGTTTTCTGAAAACTTGGTGGGGTATTTATGGCTTACTTCTTGCAAAATTTATGCAAAATCATGACCTAATAATTGCAAATTTTTGACATCACGAGTAAAGCAACAAACAGATTTCTAGGGTAAACAAAAAGTTTTTGAGCAAATAAGTTTGTACAAATAATGACATTATTAGCTCCAAACTTAAAAAAATGCAAATATTGCCATATTACTTTATTAACATCTACAGTTAATAATTTTGCTTATATTTTGAGAATGTCAAACTTATTTAAAAATTAAATACTAGACACTTTTGTATATGTTAGGATTTATGTTCATAATGTTATTTTCAATTTTATGTAAACATTTTTATGCAAATCATTTTAAGTTTAACTTATTTTGATTATTAGAGCTACATATGACTAAAAAACAATTAAAATTTTTTATGATCAAACCATTTTGACACCCGCCAAAAAATTTAAACAGCCATCTGGTCATATTCCAATTAGTTATTTGGGAATGATTCATGACAACAGATTATTATTATTATTATTATTATTATTATTACTATTTTACTACAATTTCATATTATTTTTTACAACTTTTTTCAAGTTTTTTTTTTTAAACTTCGTAATATTTGCAGTTCATTACGTTTTAATTCAATGTAATGTAAAATGTAATTGATATGTATTTTTTTTTTTTTTTTATGTTTTTTTTTTTTATTTCGCCTTTCACTATAAATACAGTTTTCATATAAATACATATACAATAAAAAAAAAATTGCTGGAGAAAGAAGAAGACATAATGTTTTAACACCGAGCACTATTTTTATAAAATCGTAATTTACAAATATTTTATTTTTTATGATATAGATAAGACCTCCACATTTACGAACATCTCAATTCATCAAAAAAATGCAAAAATTCAACAATCTTTGATTGCTTTTCCATTATTGACAGAGCTTCTTCCAATTATGAATTCAAAATTAAGGAAGGTATCCATATTGAAATGAGAAAACCTCTTCTTAATACACAATTAAAATCATACACTATTACTATAACAATATAATTTATCAATTATTTTTATTTCCTATTTTGTTTATTATTAATTACTTTTCACCTTTTGTATAATCTTTTGTAAAATTTCATGGCAATTATTTATTTTATAAAATATAACTATGGTAAAATATAACTGTTGTAAAAACTATTAAATTTTTAATGTAGCCAAAAAATTGTTATATACAGAAATTGTAACTAACTTTTTATACCTGATGATGTCAATTGATATTGATAAAACATGTTGTCAAAAAGTTTTAATAAAAAATTGTTATTTATTTGAAAAATATTACTAAACTAGTGCTGCTTAGACCATTTGGAAATATTTTATTGTAAAGACGTAAATAAATAAACCAGAAGATAATATATCATATTGTTTTATATAAGTTTTAATACATAAAGTAGCAAATTGTAATTGCCAAACTGCTTACATTTTCTACAGTAGCAAGAAGAAACAAATAAATATTACATACATACATACATACACATACCATTCTGAGAGAGAGGTAATATCATTAATAAACTTTGTTATATGGATTTTGATAAAAAAAATTTTTTTAATTTATCTTAATTTTATATTTGAGTTTAACTTTATTTAAAAAAAAGATTTAAAATCAAGCATTGTGTAATCCCTAAATAAGAAGTGCTGTTTAGATTTCTTTTTAAAAAGATCTAGAGAGGTTATCTTTTTATTGGTCTTTTTATGTCTGAGAATGTTCTCCATAGATATGGTCCACGATAATTAATTGATAATTAATATATTTTGGAACAACGAGAGTGTTTTTCGAGAATCTTGTTGTGTATTTATTACTGATTTCACTAAAATAGGATTCACATATTGTGATTTGAGCGAATAGAAAATTAGGAAATACACATATTGTAAAAAAAAATAAAATAAAATAGGAAAACACATATTGTAATTTGAGCTTTTTATTTTTGATTAAATTTTTTTTTAATTATTTGGTTTTTTATAAATAAATTAAATTTTTGTATAAATTTCAAGAAAATTTATGAAGTACAATATGACATTAATTTTTGATGTTTTATTTCAAAACTTCGGTCTCAGAATAACAGAATAACGAATAATGAATGTGAAAAATATTAAAAACGAGATTGCTAAAATATATTCTTCTGAATGCTAAAAACCTTCAAAAAAGGCACTTTTTATTTTGAATGAGTGAAGAATTGCAATGTTTTTGGTTAAAGGAGTATAAATTGTCTCACAAGATGAAGAAAACGAAGATGAGGAAGCACTTGAGTACGATCCTGCTTTGTGTAGCACTAAATATTCTCTAAAGAAAACTTCACAGCTTCTTGTTTTTAAATTTGTACATGTTAAATCAAAAGATACTCCCCAGTAGGCACGGTTTGTCCGGGAGACGTTTGTCGGACAATTTACGGACGTCCAGACGTCTGAAAGAAGTCCGACGAACGTCCACTGAACGACACATGCCCACTGGGTCCTTGTCTTCTATTATTAAGATAACTTTGTAGCCAATTTAGGTTGCTGTTCAGAGGCAATTTTAGGGTGTGGGGGGGTGTAGCCCAAACCTCCAAAAGAAGGTGATTTTTAAGTTATAGTCGGTTTTTTGACGAATATAGTCGGATATTTTACGCAATTCAGTCGGGTGAATTTTAATTTTGGGGTTCCTTTTTTTTATTTTTTATTTAAGGAGCCAGTTGGGTACTTTTAAAGATTTCATCCAACCCCCCCCCCCCTTTCAACCCTTCTCATTCTATTCGTAGAACTGCTTCTGCCGCTATTTATTACTTTATTACTCCATATGTTTTTAGTTTGTTTATTGACAAGTCGATGAACAAATCGAGAGTATAATTTTTGTTAGCATAACTGTCTAGAATTTGAGTGACTAAATCAGGTATTGCATGATAAATTGAACACCTTTTTCGAAAACCAAACTGTTTGATAAATAAAATATTATGCTTTTCAAGGTAGTAACATAATCTGTTAAACATAATACGTTCGAGCAGTTTTGATAAGCAGTAAAGAATGGATATAAGTCTGTAATTAGATAGTATAAAATCATCGCCATTTTTGTAGATAGGGACTACTCTATTTTTAATTGATAAATAAAAACACCAGTTGTTAGTCACAGTTTGAAAGTTAAAAAATATGTATTTCAGTAACATCAAAACAGCTTTTAGAGCATTCCCGACGGGCATTTGTTTTTAAAAGTTACGATTTAAATGTATTTTAAATGTCTTTTAAACGTCTTTTAAACATTAATGTTTAAAAGACGTTTAAAAGTTAGCATTGATATCGTCAAACACTGCGCTCTTATTTCTTTAAAGTACATTAATAGTTGCTTGAAGCTTATTTACAGAATGTTCCGACTTATCCATTACACAACGAGTTTTTTTTTTAAATATGATTGGTATGCAAAACTATATCTGCTGCTAAAAATGTCCCTATGTTTGTAAAGAACTTTTTAAGTTTTCCTATTTCTTTCTTATCAAATATTTCTTCTTTCATATTTTTTTCATTCTGAAACTTATTTTATTACTTACCATATCTTTCTAATGTTTCAAATGTTCGAATAATAACTATTTTTCTCTTTGTTGTTTTAATCTTTCAAAACAAGGTATATATTTTTGTTTTTAATTTCTTTGATGCAAGTTTTATTTTGAAAAAATTTTTATAAAGTCTTTGTTATTTACAAGATGATTTTGTAAGATCATTTTGTAATGATCTTTAACACATATTTTATTGCATATTATTCACATTGTCATGTTCTGATGATAAAAGACTTAGCGCCAAACCAGCCTATACAACGAATATGTTGAAATGAGATAATGAGACGCAAAGTTTAAGAGTCTTTAACAAAAACCTATAAACCAAAAAAATAAAAGTAATTGCAGTTCAGTACTTGAAAATTTTAAGTAGAGTATATTGCTGTTATCTAAGAAACACTAAACAAATCATTTTTTAAAATAAACTAATTTTTTAAACTTGTTTTAACTGTTGTTTAGGCTGGTTTGGCGCCTAACCATCCATTTGTCAGCCACGATTTATTAATATCGCTAATATCAGATTTCAATATGCTACTTTCGGATTAAAAATACATGTCATTTACAAATCGTTAAGTGTAGAAAATCATTACCTTTTTTTTTAAATGTTAAAGTTATCATTTGAGTAAATGTGCCTTTTTAAAGGCGAGTTTCCACTTATCCGTTTTTCAAAGGTAACGGGGAAAAGAAAGGGAAAAAAAGGGAAAAAAAATACCGGGAAAGGAATTAATAATCACGTGAGCATGCGTAATAAAAGTTTTTAATTTGTCTGAAGGAAAACTGCGCATGCTCACGTGATTATTTTTCCGTTCCCTTTTCCGTTCCCGTAGAAAAACGGATGAGTGGAAGCTCAAATTAATGACTTTGTCAATATATTCTTTATTCCATGGCGATTCTAGGAATAAAATGAAAGGGGAAGGGGGACAAATCCTTAAAAACTGCCTACTGCTTCCTTTAAAAAAATAAAAAAAAAGTCCACAAAACTAAAAATTTGCCGACTGATATGAGTCAACTATATTAAAAAACCGACTATAAGTTGAAAAAAGCCTTCTTTGAGGTGAAGGGAGTGTATGTAACACACCAGTTTTAAAAATATTTTTGTTTTTTTAGTCGTTAATGATTCGCAATCAGCGTTATTGACAATGAGGTACTAATTTTCTAAATGTCAAAGAAGAAAGAATATAATTCAATAAGCAGAGCCATTTTTCTTGGCTTGGCTGAATTACAACCTAGTAGAAAAAATTAGAATTACGATCAATATTTATCTGAGCCAAACTTTTTCTTCGCGTTCATACTTTTTTGTGATCATAAATACTTACTTAAAGATACCAAAGATATTGCTTGCTTTGAGATTTTGTCCGAATCATCGTCGTTTGGTTTAGAAAATTCAATTATGCTGATTGATTCAGTTTTAGAAAATGACACATCCATCTTTTTTTCGTGTTCCATTTTATAAACAGAATTTTCTTACTAAAATAAACAGTTTACAAAGAATATTGTTAATGTATTGATAATGTTAACCCTATTCATAACTGGCTCAGTATGAAGTTAACATTATTTATTTTAACCCTATTAATTTAAATCAATGTAACTTTTCTCGCACTTAACCGCTTTTGCCTAAACTTTTTGACCTTTTATAATATTCTATACTACGCCATTTCCAACATTACCGCGTGACTGTAGGGGCCTCGCAGTTTCTTTTTCGCGGTCGAAAAAAGAACTGTGAGGCCCAAATTTTGTTATAACCAATAAACTTGCAGCAAAGTAAAATTTAAAAAAATTTATGTTGGAGGGTGTCGTCGAGAAGACTGCGATAAATAAAAAATGCGCTAAATAGAATTAATGGAATGCTACTGTGTATCAATAAATAATGATTAAACTTGAACAAATCTTTGCATGAGAGTTATAGGGTTCTATTTGCCTTTTTTTTATGTTATGAATTTAACAACTAAAGTTTTGATTAATTATAAACTCACAATAAAAACAAATAACTTAAAAAATTATATAAATAATAGTATATGTTTAATAATGAAACATAATAACATAGATTACTTATAATTTATTATTGTAAAGAACAGCATTAAAATATTTTAATAATTAAATATCGAAAGGTAAGTTCTCATAAAAAACATTAAAAAAAAGATAGAACCCTATAATTTTCATGCGATCAGGTGTCTAGTAATAAAGTAGAAACAATAGTTTAATTTGAAATTAGACAAAAAAAAAAATTGGTTTAATTCAGATATGAAACATTAAATTTAAGAAAACTTATCTATATAACAAGTGTTTTCAATGAGGTAAATCGTATTACTTGTTTTTCACAATTTCACAACAAAAGTTTTAAAAAGTTATAAATTTTTCTTTTACCTTAAATCTGAAAACAGAAAATCTTTTGACGACAAGTTTGAAAAAAAGTTAAATTAAAAAGTTTTGTAGATAAAAAAACAAATTTTTATTGGTGAATTAGTTTCGAACAAATAACATTGCATTGCAAATCAAAAGGTAAAAACATTTTTTGATTTTTAAAATTTGACTTTTTTATTAAATCATTTTACTGGTCAGTTATAAACATATGAACAATATTAAAATTATATAATAACTTAAATAAAAAGGCTAAAAAATGTTATATAAATATAAATTATAATAGATAAAAACAAAGGTTGTTTATGTGATAAAATCATTGCTATCGTTTGAGATTTTAAAACACTTTAGTCTTCTGTCTTCCATAACTAATGCAACCTAACTAACCACTGGATCCCGATTAGTTTAGAAAAGTTTGCGGAAGGTTGCTCATGTAGTTCATATACATTTACATAAAGTTTGACAAATTTCCTGAGACTAAAAGATTATGCCTTTGAATGTTAACTGTTACTAATTGATTTATTAATTGTTTAGCAGTCATAAAAAACAGTAATGTTTACAGATCCAGTGGAAAATGGTTATTTGTTATTCCAATAAGTGACATTTCTGATGCTAAAAATATACTGTTGTAAGTTCTGAGCTTGAAATAAAAAATTAATGTCATGGTAAGAATTTATATTTCAATATGTTAAAGTTATTGTACAAACTGCGCCACCAATTGTACCCAGCTTATTGTGCCAACTGCGCCACCAAAAATAAGGATTACAGCATCAGCATCTTATAGTAGAAAAGTTGTATAAGCTGATCAGCTTAAAACATTTATAACCATGAAAAAAATTAGTTAGTTATAGTTTGTATATACCCCAAAAAAGTATGAAAAGATTTACTTAATATAATAGTTGTTTATAAACGTGATGTAAATACTTGTATTTAATCGACTAGGTTTACTACCAAAAGATGTCTATCAAAATAAGGTAAGTTTTCTTTAAATTATTACATTAATTATATCTTAGAAACACATTAGTTGCATCTTCGAAAACAGTTTTAAAAATAAGTTTATTAGTTTTTTTAACTCTATTTTTCTATGGATTTATTCTAAATCTTTTCCTCTAGTTTCAAATATGAGACGCGTCATTTTTGATACTTATGCAATCTAATAAGTTTGTCAAAAAACTGTATAACTATTTTTAAACAAATGATCAAACTTGGTATGGCATATTTGACTAATATATATTAGTCAAATATGCCATATATGTCATAGCTTATACCAAGTTTTATCATTTGTTTGAAATAGTTATATAGTTTTTTCATCAATTTTTTTTCTCCATAATTCATGATGGTAAATCGTATTCTTCAGACACTATTCCCTACCTACCGCCACATCTAGCTTCTTTTTCGGAATTAAAACTTGTATAGACACGTGTTTGTCACGATCCAGGCGTAAACCAAAAACATGTGTATATTACGGGCAGTTTTACTCGAGTTTAACACGTGTTTTTTGAGGCTTTAAAGTCAAATTTAAATGTCGCCTGTTTTTATCAGTGGATTCACATTCCTTACGGAAATTATTATAATATAATACTACGTTTCCATAACGGTGAAACCATTATTATTTTAACTGGTATTTATGGTAAACAGTAATAGTTAATTTCACTTAATAAAAACCATTTTTGACACGTGTTATTCTTTTTGTTTTAGAAGGTTTTACAAAATGCAACAGAAACAAAGCGTTACAATTTTCTGAGTTGTGCCGGCTGGGTTGTTCATGATTTTAAATATTTTTCTGTTTCGAGAGCAATTTATAAACAAGTTACGTTTACCAGCTTCCCAGTGTTTCTACACTAAAATTAACATCTTAAAGCTTTTAAATTAAACAATGAAGAACTAATTGTGTGTATTTAGCTATCGATCAACAACGATTGTGGGTTTAATAGTAGATGAAGTGTATGTTTAAGCTTCATTAACTTACTACGATTGAAATCCTTTTAGGAAATCATTTTACCAACCAGACAAATTAGCAAAATAAATATTCCTTATTATAATTAAATGACATTTTCGTGATCGATCTTTTATAGTTTGCATGATTCAAGTATAATGTCTTAATTCAGATTTCAGTATCAAGTAGTTAATTATATACTTAGACCGATATATGTAAATGGAAGTTGTGTTGCGATTTTATGTGACAATAGTAAAGTCAAAGATAGTTTTTTTTTCTCTTTTTAAGACTGTTGAAGAAAAACCAATGTTGACTGAATGTAACAATTACTTTCTTAGTGATTATGCAGTATGATTACTGAAAAACATTAGAAAAACTTAGAGTGGAGGGGCGCAATTGTCAATTTCTAAAAAAAGGTCCTCTATATCTAAAAATTTCTAAAAAAAAAAGGCTTTTAGAAATAAAATGGGGGAGGGGGGAAGCACCTGCTCCCGGCCATATAACATAGTTTAAAGACAATAATAATAGTTTAGTAAGGTGGGATGAACTTAAAAACTTAATTGTTTAGAAGATAAGACACTTTAACTCTTTCACATTTATAATCAGCTTCAACCGTTCCAAAACATTTAAATAAATATAAAATAGTTCCCTTTTTAGTGTTTTATTTTAGCAAGTTAAAAATCAGTTAGTAATTAACAAACTTAATAAAAATTTGTTAAAAAAATAAATTCTTATAATAACGGTTTTTGAATAGTCCAAATGAATTTTTTGACAAGTTATAAATGCTAGAACGTTTTAAGCCAATTTTAAAAAAACACAAAGCAAAAAATTTCTTAACTTACCGTAACTTTGGGTAACTTTTTGCACAAAGTTACCCAAAGTTAAAGTAAATATAGAAAACGTTTTTACCAAATAAAAATTAGCAGCCGCGCAATGGTTAGAATTATGGCTCAGAACCAAGAGTTCCGAGGTATGCCTGATACGATAACATTTACGACAGGGGGAAGGAAGGAGGCGTGAACTTTCTAATTAAAAGGAAGTTCACGTTCTGTAGTGTTCTGTCCCACAGGAACTTCTTGGGAAACTTAAATAACCACAAAAAAAAATTTATAAAGTTATATATCTGCTTTAAAATCATCTTTAAATACAGGGTTTCCCACTTCATTTCGACAACGGAATCATATACCTTAGTACGTGCGCAAAAAAATTATTACAGTTTGTGCTACTAATATTCAATGCACCGTTTTGTATATTTTCAAGCAGTTCCTCCTCAGTCCTAGACGAACATCTTCTGATAAACTGTTTCCATTCAGAAAACATATTTTCAATAGGGTTTAAAAAGGGGGAATATGGTAAAAATATCAAAGAATGCCCAGCACGTACTATTTCATTATGAACAACAGCAGTTTTATGAAAACGAACATTGTCTAAAATTAAGATAGCTCCAACAACTTCAACTTTCAACAGCTAATTGTGCTAATACTAAACGAATAAAATCTAAAAAGCTTTCTGTATTAAATGCTTTTGTTTGTGCTTCATATTTAAAAATTCTGTTTTTGTTCATTGCACAACAGACGGAAATATTTCTTAACCGTATATTGGTCACTGTTTGTGTGACCCTCTTTCCAGCTAAAGAACGTCCTCTTCTAACTCGCATTGAAAGACTAAATCCTACTTTATCAATAAAGAATATTTTATTGTCATTCATAGAAGACAAAATGTTCATGAATCTTTCTGCATAAGAAGCTCTTTTATTTCTTCTCTCTGGAAACGTCTTCCGAATTTCTTCTCTCTGGAATATTGTGAACACGTTTCAAAGTATAATTAACACTATCAATGCATCTTGCTATCGTAGATTGACTGACTGAAATGGACTTTTGTTCAAAAAGTCTTTGGTTTAATTTCCTTAAGAGTTATTCCACAATCATCATCAATCCAATTTTTGATTAGTACCTTGGATTCTTCTGTTAATTTTTTGTTTCTACCTTTTAATTGCCGTTCTATCGGCAAACCATTTTTATATTTTTTAATAATCGAATAGATTGTAGTTCGTTTAAATCCAAGAATATTTGCAATTTCTGATGGTGAGTTTCCATTTAAGTAAGATTCAATTATCCTTGAACGGTTTTTATTGTTGATTGTTTGATTCGGCATTGCTGTTTATAAA